AACTATAATTAAAACTATACAAGTTGCTCTTATGATTTTTTTTTTTTTTTTTTTTTACTGTGATAGAACAATTATGGAATAATGTGACAGTGACCAAGACTAACAAAAGAGCAGTGGGAGTCAATCAAGCTGTATTTCAAAATGTATTAGATATAAATTGATATAACTCAAAATTCTATTTAGATCATACACCATTTAAAGAAAATACACAAGATGAATTGTAATATTCCAGATTCATATTGGCACGGCTGTGGCTGACTGACTCTGCCTTCAAAAACTTCTGTACTGGGGTAAAAGACTATCTGTGTGTGTAGCGGTCAAAACTTGCCCTGTGCAAGGTCCGCTATGGCTGCAGCGTGTGTGGCGTCTCGGACGCGTGTCTTCCATAAAAAGAGTCCAAATACCATGTTCCTCAATTAGTTTATTGGCATACCTTCTAGCCACCCAACAATACACAGAGTCAGCATTCAATAGATCACGACGATGACGACGGTCAAAAAACTGTATACCTTCACGGTGCAACCCCTGTGTGCGCAATTTCCTCCTCTTTTATAGGGCAGGTACTTGCATAAATTAGAAATAGCGCCTCACAGTGGCAGGAGGTACAGACAAGGCTCCAACAGTGTAAATTATTGAAGGTTAACTTTCAGCTCAGACCAGCTTTAGCCTTATTGGGGGAAAACACGAGCAATCCGTATGAACTGGAAAGTGCGTAAATCAAATTATTATCAACTGGATAAATGGAAGTCAGAATATCAAGGGCAAGTTTCCATGCAGCACTTGCTCTGGGTGACCTAGTGCGATGGTGTGGGGTCGGAATGCCCGCGTGTATGCCGATAAAAGGGCACCGCTTTAGTATTTCCGTCCCTCTACCTGAGCACAGCCGGGCCGTCCTGGAGCCAGACCATAGCCCAAGATACGAGAAAACTATAGGCCTCACCTCCCGATTAGGCGCACCAGAGCCCCCGTGGAATGACGTCAAGCCCAGCGACTGGAGAAGGTGTGCGGACGTGGTCGGTTAGGTCAGTGAGCGTCTTTGCCCTGTTTATTTAACCTATTGGGCGTGCGTCTGTAGAATGCCGGCTCGGTGATGGATCCCCCTCGTGTGGGTGTCCCGTGTCAGTGCAGGAGCGGTGCACCTGTGCACCACCTACAATTGTTCTGAAGGTTTGTAAATTCTCGTCCATATCAGTGACCCATATCCTCCTGACTACCCATAGAGCCAGTGGACACCAAAAATATACTCCCTGCACATTACCTAACCACCTCTCTGTGATAAAGAAGACATTCAGAGCTTTCAAAGATACCAAATTTATAAGGGTGGAGCTTTGAAAAGACCCTCCTCCTTTACAAGGAAAATGGCTGCCATCAACACAACCACATTTTATGGAAAAAAGAACAGTAAGTGGTAAACTTTTTTATTAAGCAAATTTTGATCAAAGTTGCATTGTTATATTTTTCTGAATGTCTAATGAACACATTAAAACCATTTTTAAAGTAAAGTAGCAATATTTTACAATGAAATTTGAGTTTAACAAATGTCCTCCGAAGTGGACATTTGGAGTCATTTATTTTTTTTCCAATTTGAAGGAATTGGTTCTAGGTCAGAGGCAGAGAAAATATTACTACAAATGGGAGAAAACTCAGATATTGAGTTGTCTGATGATGACCAGGATCTATTGTTTGAGGGAGAGGCTGAGAATCAGAGAGCTCTGAGATGAGGATGAGGTTGAGGAAGAAGAGTCAGTGTCCAGTCGCCGTCCGTGGAGCAAGACCACAGTGTACATCTTGATCTTGTACTCTCTTAGTATTATGTATTTTACAATGTATTTTATATATTTAGTTCATTCAAATCATTTTGCAAAAAAAAAAAACTATTCAGAATAATTCAGTTTTGTAATAGTTTACTATAACAATCTTTCATCTTTAAAATGATATTGATATTTTCCTTAAGATTCAACCCCCAACTGGATGATCTTCCAATTATTCTAAGCAGTGATGCCACAACACGCCAAAACTGGACCCCACTTTGTTATTTTGAACAGCATATTGATGACACTGTGTTTGAAAAAATGGCTATGTGCACAAACCAACGTGAAGTCCTTCATTCTGGAACATCACTAAACACTACCCCTGAAGAGGGGGACTTTCTTTGGGTGCTCCACCTACATGGCCTGTTTGGGTTATCCAAACATTCAAATGATTGGGCTCAAAGACACTATGGAGTGCTACATCTCGCAAAAATGGTGGATGAACCACATGCATCAAGGTGTCGTAGATCTGGCTGTGCAAAACCTATGGGATGTGCACTAAGTGCAGTCTTTCTGTGCGGAATTGCTTCCTCTCACACAAAGTAAACCAGAGCAAAGTTCAATGTTCCAAAATAATGCACTACAGATCTGAAGGTGGTTGACATAAATCCTGACACTTACTCTCAATTGAATTCTATGAAATTGTTTGTACAAAAATTCTCAAGTCCATATCAGTGACCCATATCTGTGCAAACTGCGGTTTATGAATATGCAAAAAAAATATATATATATAAAAAAAAAATAATTTTAAAAAGCAAGTGAGGTTGCTCCTCTTGACTGGTGACTTTTAGTTATTAATATGTGTTGAGTCTAAACTGGTCAATTAAGCCCTTCTGTGATATGTGCACAAACGACCAGGAAAGTGGAGATGACAGTCATGGTGTGGTCCAGAGGTCCACTGGTTTGAAGGTCTGAAGTTCTCAAGGTGTCAAGAATCAGATGAGCTGAGCCAGACAGAAGCCACATGATCTAAACAGTAACTCCAGGTTCAGACAGTTTCCGGCTGAAGGAATGCTGTCTGAACTTGGAGTTACTGTTGATGAAGGAATGCTGTGCTGCTCATCACACACTGTCTGATGTCACAGATTAAGGCCAATTAAATCAAACGTCTACTGAAAGTTTACTAAAAATGCAAATATTTTTATTTGGAAAAAACACGAAAGCCTCGCTTTGCCAGTGCTCTGAATGGAGAAGGGTGACATTAAGTATTGACTTCAAGATTGTAATTTATGGTGTGATGTGTAATTGTACATGAACTAAAATTAATGTATACATGCATGTGCAGCTGTGCATACATTTATGTGTATGTTACACTGACAAACTACAAACTACACATGTACATGTGCACATACATCCACAGTTTCGAACTACTGATGTTTGTGTAATGTCTGTGTCTTTGTCGTTGTATAAAAGTCTGTCCATAGCGCCCGTTTAGTCTCGTTACATTATTACATTATTGAGTTGTTGTTCATTTTCATACCTTTTTGCACCACAAAGGGGCGCGCTTGCACACCAAGTGAGTCACGAACACTTTAGTCAATATGGATGCATGACGCTTCGTACATCGACTATGAACAAATCCACATTAGCCATCCGTGTGTGTGTGTGCGTCTGTGTGTGCGTGGTGCGTGTGTGCGTATTTCCCACTGTATTAAAACTGGGTAGGTCCTAATTTAATTTAGGTCCATTTCTGTTACAACTGTACTGTACATACAGGCTCCCTATCGGCCACTTTGTAAATGTGCAGCCTTATGTAAATAAACACACGGTCGTTTGTTGTGTAATTACCATTTTAATTTATTATTAATAATATTATTTGTCTTTGTTTATTCTTTCTCTTGTAGATAACCACACACGTATGTACGCACACAGACATTAACGAAACGTTCTACTTTCACCTGGATGTGGACTCCCTCATTCTTCAAACTCATCAGAACATCTATTATTGCTGTCCTGACTCGACACCCTGTAGTGATTACTGGCCAGCACTCAAGTTTTCAAACATTACAGTCCTCATTACAGTCGTTGCACGTTGTAAGTCTGGCAATAAGGCACAATTCAGACTTAAAATACATCAGTACTGACAAACTCTAAAGCAGAAGGAGGCCCATACGTCTTTGAGCTTTTTGTGATCACATTCAATATAAACCTTTTTTTTTTTTAATGTTTTAAAATAGTCCTAGCAAACCCAAAATCTATGTTAGCCCCAGTGCCATATAGACAAGACCAGCGGACTTTCTTTTACATTAACAAGCAGTTACACACTTGAAAAGCTTCCCATCTCTGGCTAATTTTTCACCAACATTTACTTGGAAATTATACTTCACAGCCTAAAAAAGGAGAGTTATGAGTACAATATGAGGAAATGTATTTAAAATCAAACTACTATGACTACAAATTACCATACAAAGTTGACAAGCTGACAGTAAGCTATAACCAACCCTTAAAATAAGATAATAGATGTGCTAGAGACTTACCCATCTCTTTCCTGCATTTTCTGTCTGCTTCTGAACTTGAGGCTGTTGACAATTCCTAGCTATTCTTGAAGGATTTTGGTGCCACATTGAAATATAACATTGTTTTTAGTGTTGATTCAACATCTCATTTTCAGTGCTTGAATGGTTCAAAGATTCAAAGTCAAAATGTCAATCTTTAAATTGAGTTCTATAATACAACATTGGTTCTATCATGTTTTCAATGGTATTTAGTGATAGTGATCAATATTAATTGAATATTGAATCATTGTTGCCCAATGTGTGCTACTTCAGATATGTACTGTTATGGTTTTAATCCTTCTTTTACTTTTGTATTTGTGTAATTCTCTTAGCCTGACTCAGACTGTCTGGTGGAACCAGGGCACCGTTTGTGCACTTGACCTCTTTATGATCATACTGCTGTTACATTTTGTGACATATGACATGTATGGGAGTCTAATATAATAAATAAAATCTAATATAGTAAACTAGTAGCTCCACACTGCCTGAGCACAGCACATGAATCATATCAGTGGATGATTGTGGCAGTTCCTTCGTGCTCCCTAAGGAATGAATAGGCCTACACACTTTCTGAGGGAGTGAATAGGTCTACATGCTGTGAGGGAATGAATAGGTCAACATACGCTAAGGGAGTAGGCCTACACGTTTTCTACATGCTTTGAATGAGTGAATAATCCAACACTGAGGGAACGAGTCTCTGTATGACCCAAACACAAGCTGTATGGGGTGCACTTTTATTGTGTTTAAGCAGAACCTCTGTTCATCAGAATGATGAGGCTGTGGTATTTCCTGTTTTCGGATTGAACACTGAAAAAAACATCAAAACCAAATTCATTTCAATGAAGACCATGACTCCAGATGGTGCTCTGCACATAAACTGTAAGGGTCTGGAGCAGTGTTCTAGAGGTTCAGTGGTATTTCAACAGTCCAAAGTCTCATCTCTAACACAGTGAATGATCCCTCCAGTGGCTGTCCAGTGTATCGTCTGTGGACTGTGGGTTTGGATGTGCAAAATCCAGCCAGCTCCTTAAGCGTGCAAGAAGAGCAAGTGAGGACTGCTCCACACACCTGCACTTTTACCCAGTGTCTCCGTGCTATCCTGTCACCAAGACATTTCTGTACGTACATCGTATGTCCTTTGAGTATTTATTAGTTACTTTGCACTTTACAATATAAATTACTATAGAGTCCTTTCAAATAAATAAGATGGAGTGGGGCTTCAGTCTCTTTTGCCTAACCAGAGACTCTCTCAGAACCAAAAACACAAGCTTCAAATATCCCCACCAACCAGGGCTGCAACAAGCCACCCTTCTCTACTGACTCTGCTCTTTATTACTAATCTGATGTTTTTGGGCAAGAGCAGTTCACCTCCTTTGTGAATGGGCAGAGTGACGGAAAGTTCATAGGTTGTTGGTGCAGATTACCACAGCCCTTGGGCAGCTGTGGCTACAGCAGTTTAAGATCTAGTGTGGAATGTGAATAAATGTATTTAAAATGTGACCAGTTACACACACACAAAAGGGAAATTGTTTTGGACTTTGGCCGTGTTTTCTGTTGTTGACAAGAGCTCTTCTGTCGGGACCTGTAGTTACTGAATTGGTGGTAATTATTTCAAAAACTGATGAATCACAATGAGTGCAGTTGGGTATTGCAACCCCCCCTCTAACCCAGCACAAACATCAGTAATCAGCCCACATGTGGCCTGTTTCTGTCCATGTGCAATGATTGGACCTGCGGTCCCTTGCAGGGGGGGCCATAGGGGCCCCAGGGGTCAGTGGCGTTCCAGTGGTGTCCTAGAGAGTCCATCAGCTATACTACCGTCCCACTTGGAGAGCTCCCGTTTTGTGCTGTCACGTTCTGCAAATGAGAAAAAGCAAAAACATGTAACAATTTATAATCCTCTTTTTCTAATACCTGAAAAGGGATATCTCAACGTCATCACATTTAGTGAAGAAACTTCTTTTAAAGAGGACATACCATTGAAAATATACTTGCATACTATGAGCTTTTCACCATAACTGTGCTCCATCATCAAGCAGAGCCAGATTTGTACTCCTAATTGATTCATGCATGTTTGAATAATCGTGAATTGTTCTGGATTTAAGGCTTGAGTGCTCTGAAGATTGCTGTTTTTGACAACGGCTCTCTTTATATTTCAATTCAGTTGTCAAATATTGTACCATTACCATTCCTTAAGTATGTGGCCAACTTTATCAAATAAACTTACTAAATAAGAAAAAAAAATTTACATTAAAATTGAATGTGAAAATGTCCACGTCTCCTCTGCTGTGTGCTGAGGGACATACCGTCTTCCCAGGCCGGGCCCATGTGCAGATGAGTCCCTCCTGACAGGCTGTGATGATGCAGTCGTCCATGAAGACGAGGACAGTCAGCCTCTCGTGGGCGATCTTCTTGCACACCAGAGGCTCAAGCAGAGGCACCTCATGCATTCGCGGGCACAGGGTGGTGCCCAGAACCTTGGCGGCGTCCAGCCGCTGGCTCCTGGGGGCCACGTTGATCTTGTCATTGCTCTTGCTGATGTTGCCGAGGCTGTGGTAGCGCTTGTGCTCCTTCTCCACACTGGACTTGTCGGACTTGCGTTCTTGTAGGGACAATGTGGCGAATCGGCCGATGCTGAAAGGGGTGGAGTTACCAGCCCCACTGCCACCGCCGCCCCCGCACACCCCTCCCTCAGAGCTGCCCTGGCTCTTGGAGGCATTGGCCACAGCAGGATGGGGTAAAGAGTTCGAGCGGGACAGGGAGCGAGGCAGTGGCAGCGTGGGGGGGTTGGTATTGGGAGGATGGTGATGACCTTCCACGCCCCCAGCCCCCCCCCCTGTGGAGACGCTGTTGACCGCGCCACTGCCCGAGTTGGACAGTGAGGGTCCAAACGTGTTTGTGAAGGCTCGGGACAGGGGCAGGCGCGGGTACAGTACGTCGTCTGTGAGGTCCCACAGGCAGAACTGAGTGTCCTGTCCCACAGAGCCAAAGCGGTAGGTAACAGAAGCCGAGCCCCCTCCTCTGGAGCTGTGGCGGGACAGATGTGACAGGGTGCTGCTTGTTCGAACGCGTCCAAAGTGTGTGGTGGAGGAGTTAGGCGTGCCCTGGTGCAGGTCCTCCTCACTGCCGCTGAGCTCCATGGGCTCCTCATCCTCCAGGGATGTAGTGAAGGGGTCAAATGCCACCACGTTGACCCAGGACTTATGCCCATGGCCCCGGGCCACAACGCGGCTCTCAGCGAAGGACCACACGGTCACCAGGTCGTCCTCTCCGCCCGTAGCCAAGTATTTTCCATCTGGACTCCAGGACACGCACAGAAGACCTCCAAAGTAGCTCTTCATCACCCCCTGCAGCTCCATAGAGTCAAAGTGAAAGACACGCAAGCAGCCGTCCTGCCCCACACAGGCCACATGTACACCATCAGGGGAGAAGGAGAACTCGTTCAGACCTCCCTCCCCAACAGCCCAGCGGAGCAGAGGGTTTCGTGGGGTCTTGGATTTGCAGGCATAGACTGCAAAGCCCTCCCCCTGCCTCAGCAGAGAGTACTGGGGTGGGGTGGTGCCACATGAGTGATCCACATTGTACAGGTACAGGTGCCCACTGGCATGGGAAGCCAGAAACAAATTCTCCGACTTGGGAAGCCACTTGAGACAGGTGACCTTGGATTTGTCTATCAGCCTCTGGAAGAAAAAGAAACAGTAAGCAGACAGCAGCAGAGTAACTCATACAAAAGGCATCAGACTTAAGTAACACAGAGTGGAGAGAAGGACTACAGTACAGGTTTACAGGTATAGAGTATAGTGTATGTATGTACTTGTGTATTTTCTTCCATCTCTCCTAACGCCCTAATAAAGGACACATATCCCATAACATAAACATATTAGTTAGTAGTTTGCTAAGTTTATTCCCACTGCTACCAGCAGAGGGCTCACCAGCACCCAAAAGACATGCTTATAACTGCAGGTAAGTCTTAAAGGAACTGTATCCTGTGCTCTTAAGCTGTGTTGCCAAAGCCTTAACCTACAGATAGAAACACATCCAAGTTTGTCTCATTCTCAGTATACTGGCAGGCTAAGACTCATGTGAAAGCTCAGAACCTCCAGAATTCCCTGACTGAGCTACAGAGGCTGCACTAGCACTGATCCATGACTGGATGCAGGTGCTGGGGTTTAGGTAGTGACCATTCAGATCTGAGAGAGGCATTTTAGGGATTTCAGCATTGAAACTGGCAACCCAAATGAGAAACACATGAGGCTCATTCTGATTGGATACTTGTCTTGAGAATAAAAACACCAAATCATAATATAAACAGAACCTAGCGAAATGTGGTCCTGTAAAAACGTGGCAATTATTTTTGTTGCTTTTGTGTTTATTATTGTTGCTTGTATGTTTGTTATTATTGTTACTTTTGTATTTGTTATTGTTGTTTGTGAGTTTGTTATTGTTGTTGCTTTTGTCTTTGTTATTGTTGTTTGTGTGTTTGTTATTATTGTTATTGTGTTTGTTATTGTTGTTGCTTTTGTTATTGTTGCTTGTGTGTTTGTTATTATTCTTACTTTTGTATTTGTTATTGTTGTTTGCGTTTTGGTTATTGTTGTTGCTTTTGTATTTGTTATTGTTGTTTGTGTGTTTGTTATTGTTGTTGCTTTTGTATTTGTTATTGTTGTTTGTGTGTTTGTTATTGTTGTTGCTTTTGTATTTGTTATTGTTGTTTGTGTGTTTGTTATTGTTGTTGCTTTTGTATTTGTTATTGTTGTTTGTGTGTTTGTTATTGTTGTTGCTTTTGTATTTGTTATTGTTGTTTGTGTGTTTGTTATTGTTGTTGCTTTTGTATTTGTTATTGTTGTTTGTGTGTTTGTTATTGTTGTTGCTTTTGTATTTGTTATAGTTGTTTGTGAGTTTGTTATTGTTGTTTGTGAGTTTGTTATTGTTGTTTGTGTGTTTGTTATTGTTGTTGCTTTTGTATTTGTTATTGTTGTTTGTGAGTTTGTTATTATTGTTATTGCTTGTGTGTTTGTTATTATTGTTGTTGCTTTTGTGTTTGTTATTGTTGCTTGTGTGTTTGTTATTGTTGCTTGTGTGTTTCTTATTATTATTATTCTCTTGTGAACGCTTTGATTTTGGGTCGGAGTTGCTCTGATTTTGGGATGATGATTACGTAGCCCCCCCCCCATGTTGACAATATGAAATCTGAACATTTGTGTTTCTTGCACCACTTCTTGTGATCGAGTTTGTCTCATTTCTGTGTCTCTTCTTTCAAAATACCAGATTTTGTGCTTATTTCATGTTTGTCCTCAAAATTACATTAACTTCAATTATAGTGTCTCAAATTCTTTTGTACTCTTACTTTTTTTGTACTTCTTCTTTGAGTAATACTATTTTGAGGTGAGGTTAAATTTTTTTTAGCTACTCTACCCACATACACATATCAAACTGTTGAAATGAGCCGTCATCGTTTGTCACAGTGATTATGTTTTTACACACTGAATCAAATGTGAGCGCTTGTTTGAAAGGTGGGTGAGTTTGGGACAGCAGCTGGTGAGCCGTTACCTCCTCATTGAAAAGTTTGCTGGTCTCCTTCTTGATGGGGTCCAGGTACTGCACCTGTCCGGCAGAGAAGCCCACAATGAGGGCCACACTGTCGGCGCTGGCAGAGTACTGGTTGAAGTCGTGGCAGGTGGGCTGCGTGCCCTTGTAGATGCGCTTGTCGATGGGCTTGCTCAGGTCTACAGCCTACACACAAAGACACAGAGACAGAATCAGTAGTGGCTAATAGGCCTCAGTATATCAGCATAGGCCTCATGTGTATTAAAAGGACTACACTGTTTCAGGCTCTTCAAGGGAACTATCCACTGTGCCTATAGTCTATGGCTTGGCGGTAGGCCATCAAAGCTTGTATTATTTATTTATTTTAAACATTTCATCACATTATGCAGATGTTATATTTTATGTTAAAATTTCTATCATTTACACCAAGCTACCTTTGCACGGGATATAGGCCAAGCTAAGCAACTGAAGTAACCCTGAGCTCCCTCACAGCGGTGTGGGGCTGGTGCATCTGCCTGATCTGCTCTCCCCGCCCCGGCACCCCTCTTCTCCTGCCGCTGCCCCGGCACCCCTCTTCTCCTGCCGCTTCCCCGGCACCCCTCTCCCTGTGGCCCTGCTGCTGCCCCGGCACCCCTCTCCCTGTGGCCCTGCTGCTGCCCCAGATCTCCGGCGGAAAGGAATAGCATCACAGAGTAGGGCTAGCTCGCTAAGCTAACAGGATGTCTATGGGCTAAGTCTGGCGCAGGCTCACCTTCTTGATGTTGGTGTATGTGTAGAAGTAGAGCTCCCGGCCGATATTGAAGCACACCCGCTCGGACTCCTCGCCCGGGTCCTCGGGCTGCAGCTTGACCATGGAGACCCTGACAGGGGGCAGGAAGCCCGCTGTAGACGAGCTTGCGCCGGCGTTAGAAGAGGACGCGGTGGTCCCTGGCCCCTGCAGCAGCCCGACCCCTCCGCCAGGGATGGCCCCGGCCCCCGCCACTGGCCCCAGCGTCGTTCCCGCAGACACTCCCCGAGGCAAGCCTCCTCGCTGCTGAGAATCTGAGAGGGTGAGCAGCTTGTAGAACCCCTCTCTGGTGCGGAACTGTGATTTAATCTCATTGATATCCTTTAGTCCGCCGCCATCTCCGGCCATTTTTAGCAGCTACAAACAAGCCGCACAGGAAACCGAGATTTGACCTGGAAATGATCAAAAAACAAATGGGAGAAACAGATTAATGTGGCGTGCTCAGCTGGGCTGCCGTCCACAAGCGCTCCGCCACAGCGCATCTTTCTCCTGCCGTCTCCAGACAACCGACCCGGGGATGAGGTTTCTATGAACCAGAGTCAGCATCCTCTCCTCAGCCTTCGCGCATCCTCCGCGCAGCCATCACAGCCACTGTACGTAATGGGGACATGCGTTACTGCGTAATCTTACGTGCCGAGCTTTTGTGAATGTCCCGTGTTCATCATTTTCTTAGAGAGAACTTATTTATTCAAAACGCACTAACCACGAAGTGGGGTTAGTGTTGTTACTGTCATGACCTTGTCATTAATAGGCTAATGAGTTATTAAGTCCGTTTTCCTTGTTTTATTATGTTTTATTGGGCCTATTTTCAACCTTCATATAAAACATTGCAACCTATTGTGAAATAAGCAGTTCACATTAATGATGGAAATTCCACCAACAACACCCTCTAGTGTCTACAGTTTACTGAAAGGCTCCTCCGGCACTCCTCACTCAAGTTCTTCAGTGAGATCAAGTCCTTTAGAGGGCCCTGTAATGATGGACAGTAAAGGAGCCACATTCACAGCTCAGCCTTCACACCAGAGCTCCTCTTTCTGTGCTTCTCAGAATACTCCTGATCTTCCGTAACTCAAGCAGAGATGGGTGTCCATCATGGTCAGGGCAGCAGGACAAAGCGCTCAGCGTCCTCCAGGAGGTAGAGATTGGACAGGTGTTCTTCTGTTCGCCGAGTCTCTAACAGCACGAGCCTGTGAGCAGAGGAACATTCATTCCACTCCATGTCAACATTTCTACACCAGATGCCCTTCCTGACATGGAATGCATGAGGTTTTGGTGTGGCAGTACCTGTCAGAGGGCAGTAAGCAATAGGTCTTCTTGTAGTCTGTGATCTCTTGAAGCAGCTCACCAGGGTCCAATCCTCTCCTCTGCCAACCGTGGTCCCACACCGCCAGCAAAGACTCCCCCAAATGCACTGCACACAGATGTTTAGGTCAGCACCCAGTGGGTGAGCCTGCATAGTCTGTATGTTTATATATCTGTACACCATGTGCTCACCCACTGACTTCACTTCTGTAGAGAGGCCACTCTGACTCTTCAACTCCCCCTCCAGGCCAACAATATAAACTGACTCTGAGAAGAGGAGTATAGTCACTTGGGACAGAATGCACAAACATAATCCAGACCTGAGCAGGAGGAGCTAAAGGAAACACACTGTCTCTCCTTGCATGTTGATCACCATAGTCAATAGAATAGAACAGCAAAGGGACTCACTGTCGAGGAGCACGAGCAGCATGCTGCTGTCCATTTGCTTCACCTGCACCACATCAGGAGACGGCTTCTCTGTGACAGACACCACTATTAGCATGGACTTAAGCATGAAATGCTAAAGCTACAGAGCATAAAGACATTTGTAAATGTGCAAGCTTGTTTTTGTTTAAGTTCAGTCTCAGGTCTGCCACTGCATGCTCCATTGTGAGGGCCCGTCTTGTCCAACTCCAGTTCAGAAGTATCTCTAGAGGTCATATTCATGAAGACAGCAGGAGCAGGTTTTAGGGCCACCGTCTGTCAGCTCTCTCAATGTGCACCAAGTCTTCTACACTCTCTCAAAATGTCTTGGAAAAATGTTTTTTAAATCATAATTGGAATTCACTGAAAATGAAATCTAAAGGAACTCTACATACTGGAGTCTTTATTGCATATTTTTTCTATGGACTGTGGTGTGAATTTCTATTCAAGTGAATACACTTGCATTTTATAGTACTCAAGGTAAACTTGTCTTCAGAGTCTCTCAAAATAAATGAAATGAATGAATAAATAAATAAATAAACTAGAAAAGCACTCAGAGAGCGCAGACCTCCGCCAAGGACTACCCCCATTTTTTATATAAATTGCGATAAAATCCGTCTTCTGGATCAGATCTGGATCAGCCTTTGGAATATGAAAGAGGATCCCATTGTCCATCCCTGAGTCAAATTTCATGGGGTTTGGTCAATAATTAACCGAGATATTGAGAAACAAAATTTTTGGCCCCATTTACCACAATGTTAACTAAAATTTCAAAGTGATCCAGAATCCAGGAATTCTTCCGGATCACCCCCAAAATGAAATCAGTTCTTCCTTTTCACATTTCCAACAAATCCTGAAAATTTCATCAAAATCGGTCCATAACTTTTTGAGTTATGTTGCTAACAGACAAACAAACAAACAAACAAACAGACAAATGCCGGCAAAAACATAACCTCCTTGGCAGAGGTAACAAATAAATAAATCAGCTGATCAAGTATTTTAAAATGATCAGGTTTGTGTAGTATGGTCAGTGTAAAACCTGTAGCATACTGTATATTTTCAGTGGAATGGAAACACTTTTGATAGTGATTTATTTTGATTTGAAAAAATATTAGGCTACAAATAAATGCAAAAAAGTATACATATTCTAGATCATTGGAAAGGGAAGCAATTCTAAGCATAGCCAAACTTGCTGCAGGTACAAAATGTGTACAATATTGATCAAATATAGAAAATAAGTACTGACTTAAATTTTCCTCATAGACACTCCAGCAGCTATTACCCTGCTGGTCAGCAACACCTGTGTGAAGCTTCAGAGCTCTATGTCCAGATATGTTCATGCAAATGATTATTATTATGATTATTATTATTATATTTTTGTTAGGGTAATTGAGCACAAATGCTCCCAAAATAACAATTGCAATAAAGACAAACATTTCTTCAAACATTTCAAATAAAGAGTGAAAGTTTCTACTAAAATTGACAAAAAAGCTTTATTTGAACTCTTTATTTGAATACTCAGATGCAAATAGATAACTGCTCAAAACATGACTACTCGGCTCTCTTCAAGTTTTGTGGTAAAAAAGGGCTGTGGGTGAGTGCCATGAATTAAAATTACAAAATTTGGCAAAAATAATCAAAATTATGCCTAAATATTGTCTCAAAAATATTGTCAAGCTTATCATCGGTTTCTCTGGATTATAAACAATCTGCATTCGCTATGAAAGAAACTCTATTTCCTGATCTCTAAATGAGAGAGAGAGAAAGAGAAAGAGAGTGTAGAGATGGAGAGGCTGTAGTGTTTGTTGTACCCAGGCCGGTGTTGGTGAACCAGGATGTGTTGGAGTTCAGGTTGATGTATTGAACAGAGACTGGCAGAAGAGGGCTGGGCCCCTGGGACACCCCGATGCACACCAGAGGGTACTCCTGCTGAGGCACCACGACCATCTGAAAGACCCTGAGCGGACTGGGCAGCGGAAAGTCAAACGTCTGTGGGCACACAGTGTTACTGCCAGAGCACAGCTTCACCTGTTCACAACTTTTACATTCAAGTGGAGCAAAACAATAAATCAGCTACTAATTTGCTACTAAGCTTTTTATATGATGTTTGAGTAGCATTGTCTACTGTTCCTAGTGCTTTTTTTTTTTTTTTTTTGGCAACTGGTCAAAAACAGTTAAAAACTGAGTATGCACTGTCTTCAGTGGCTACTGCGATTGATTGCAGCATGTGTTTCTGATTATACCTGGGTCAAGGGGCAGAGTTTCAAGTGTGGATACCTGTTAGACCACTGACACCCCAGACCCTGCCTCTCCTCCCCCCTCACACTGCCCGTTAGTGCTCCAGATACTGCCGAGTTTAGCTGATCTTTTTGATATGTGGTCATGGGAGAAGTTTAGATGTTAATTTACACTTAAACGGGGCACAAGGTACATGTTTGGGTGGAGGGTTCGAAACCTTATTTTCTCTGGATGTGTTATTATTTTGCCAGGAATATTCCACAGAATGACATAAACTATGTAATCTCAGACTCACATGACTCACATAGGTAATGGATGTGTTCTAGTGCACTTGTCATCACTTGACTGGTTTTCTGTAAGACTCGCATGGTTCATGGCTTGCCACTCTTTAACCATTTTGAAGCCCCTGAGCAGATTTGTCTGCAGATATCTGCTGTGGGTGCTAACCCTGTGAATGCTAGTTCAGCAGACAAAATTGGTGAGTTATATAGGGCCATGTTCCAATAGATGTGGATTTTAATAATGTGTCTTATGAATATATAGACAAAAGTACCATCCATCACCTTCTGCTTATCAGTGGCGAGGTGGCCGTGGTTCAGCAGCTCTACTCTCCTCCCGTGTGACTGAGCTCCTCACCCTATCTCTAAGGGAGAAGCCACTCTGTGGAGGAAACTCATTTCAGCCGCTTGCGTCCAGGGTCTTATCCTTTTGGTCATTATGCAAAGCTCATGCCCATAGATGAGGGTAGGAACAGAGACTAAATGGAGAACTTTGCCTTTCGACTCTTTGCCTTTCGGCACTTTCTTTATCACAACAGTCCGATATAGTGACCACATCACTGCAGATGCTGCACAACTAGACCCTGAAATACTTAAACTCCTCCACTTGAGGTAGGGAAGTAGCACTATTGTAAATACTCTTGAGAAGGATATTTGCTTAGTGGATATTCTGTGATTTGTCCAAGCAATGTAACTGAAGACTAGCCAGGCTGGTGCCACCTAGTGCCTCCCCTCAATTTCATTTCTCTCCAGTGACTAGGTCAGGAATCGGAATACACTAGACAGTTCGCAAAAACCCCGGAAGTGTGAATTCGGCCACCAGACTTTTGTGTGTGTGCGAGAGTGGGGAATTACAGTATTGAAGTACAGCTCACCTTGACGAGCATGAACTTGCTCATGGGCTCGTACCACTGCAGCAGGACCACACTGGTGTCGAGAGCGCAGCACAGGAACACACAGCCGCTCTGCAGGCTCCCTGTGCACACAGCAATAAAACAGAATACCTACTTTAAAAATTTTACTTTTCAGGGTACTACTATGATTACATTTTATTAAAATAACAGTACTCTTGAGTAAAAGTGTTACTCTTTCCACTGTGACTAAGTGTACAGGTGACAAAAGCTTTATGTTGAACAATATGAAATGATTTGAACATTTATTTTTCTTGCAGCTCCTTCAGATATGATTTGTATAATAATTTGTCTAATTTTTGTGACTGTCCTTTGTAAAAGAATGTACTTGATTTAATGATTGGTCCTTTAAATTACATTAACTTCAAATTATAAATAAGATGTTACTCTTTAAGTTACTTTTACTTGTAGGTTTTGGTTAGGTATAAAATAATCCAAGATCTTATCTGAAATGCTATGACCACATGACCTCTCGCTGCTCAGCCCTACCCTCCTAGAACACCGTGCGGCAGAGAGACAGAATCTAATTGAACTTTAACACCTTGTTTAGATGGATATAGCCTTTTAAAACTAACAAAAGGTAACATGGTGATTTAAATGTCATGTATTAGCAAATAAGCAATTGTAACCCCCGCTTTTATGATTATGTACAATTTTATTTCAGTTCTTGGGGTCAAAATAACTCAGCTGTGTACTCAGCTGTGTAACTCAGTACTATGTGCATCTACTTAAAAAGCATTTTATTGTCTGATAATCAGATAAAAAGTTGTGAAAATTGCTCATCGAATTATTGAGTGAATTATTAGGATGCTCCGAATGCATTTGGTAAAAGAGGATTAACTTTGAGTAAGAGAATTTAAGCAGTTTATCCTCCACGTACATCTGTCAGTTTAACATTGACTCATAGGAGCTTACACTCACACAACACGATCATCTTCCTTTGGCATACCATTGGCATATCATTATCTAAATAGCGGCATATTGCTGTCTAACTGGTGCCTACTGGCCTTCATAGTCTTACCACTTGCTTTGTAAAGCTCCTCCTTTGGAAGCACAGTGAAGGGTCTTGAACACTCAAAGATCATACTATCTTCACTTTTGAAATCACCTATCAACCACCTGAATTTTTGTCTATGACAAAGTAGATTTTTTTCAGGTATAGCCCTAAGCACAATGTATTTTGATTTTGCAGGGGGCGCTATCAGGCTTTTTTTTTTTTTGAGTTTTTTTTTTTTTTTTTTGAGTTTTTTTAGTTTTTTGATGTGGAGTATTTGTGAATTCCTATTTTGGCATTCTTGAATGTTGTGCAAAATTTTTGTTTTTGAGTTTTCGTCAGTGACAAGTCACCGAACTGTGCTTGGGGGGAGGATATTAATAAGAAGAAAAAATAGAACAATAACAATATAGGCACATATTGGCAAATATATATGTCATTGGAATGTGCTCGCGTCCAGTAACGCACCTGTGGGCTCCATTCTCTTTGATTACTCACATGCCCAATGCATGTTTTTAGAGTTTACGAGACAGGCAATGCCAGTCTGTGCAATTGGAAGCCATGAGTGTCACTACTGAGTGGCATTGAGTGTTTGATAAGGGCAGGGCGCACTTGACATCGTGCACATTTTGGGGTGAACAATAACAATTAGGACGCTGTCGCGGCCATGGGTGATGCCACCGTGCCATGTCAGCGGGCACCAGTCACTAACATGAGTGACAGTGTGTGTTTGGGGAGAGCGCTTCACGCTCTGTAGACGCTCGGGCCTAATTAGGCCACATAAATGATTACTAAGGCAGGAAATTTTAGAGGGTTTTATTTCACAGTTAGTGAACTGTGATCACAGGCTGGTGTGAAAACCTAGGTAGAACTGACCTATTTTAGTGGTCATAAAAGTTTGTGGTGTAATATGCAGCTGTGCGCTATTCAGACTAGCTGTAGATGCTGTAGTAGAGCAGTGCAGAAAAAGGGTTCATGAGTTTAGGGAAGAGCCTAGGAAAGTATCGGACTCTAAAACAAACTGTAGAACTCCAGAGTCAGCGGAGAAGCATTAAGATTGTGTTCTAAAATTAAAATAAAATAAAATCAGGATGTACATCTGGATGCAGTAGTAGCAGTTTATGTGTAATTGTGTTAAAGTGTAATTTTTCTGCTTTGCAAACATGGGCACTGCTCAGTCCAAAGACAGGTTTGATGAGATGAAATACCTTGATATGCACAACAGGGCACTCAGAGAGATAAGAATGTGAGCACTCCAGACTCTGTGGGTTATACTGTCTCCCCAGACAATAATAGTGCAGTTGATAGAATTGAATGTGAATTGAACTTTTCTCCCCTCGAATGCCAGCTGGCATTGTAGAGCGTGAGAGTGGCTGGAATTTTGTATTCCGGTTTACTGCTATGATGTGTGAGGAGACACACAGTCTCTGGCCATATCAAGGCACATTTAACTTTGATTTAATGGAAGTCACACAAACGTATGTGAATGAGCTGAAGCTAGATAGGCACTATGTCACAAAATATTTACACAACAGCCAAGAAAAGGAGCTTGGTGCTAAACAAAAGCTAAAGTTACATACACAGAACAAGACCACGATAGATAAGAGGGCAAAGGTGAAATGTTTTGGATGTGGGCAATATGGGCATTACAAAAGGGTGTGTCCTAATAGACAGCCAAAATCAAATTGGCATGCCATCACATATTCACAAAAAAATTTACCCTGCTTGCCCACCACAGAGGAAGCACAAGACTAGGGAGGCTGTGAGGGGACAGGATCAGATAACAACCAATCATTTTCCATCCAGATCAAGAAGTTGCAATTCACAATGACATTATGAATGAAGCCATTAAAAACCAAATTTCTAAATCACCTGCTGTAGACCCTGTTATACCAGTTGAAATTAATTAAATAAGGGTTAATGTTTTAGTTGATAATGGGGCTACTCTATCAGCAGTCAACAATGAGAATGTGTGCAGTCCAACAAATGAGTATGTAGCTACAGTGGGAGTTGCAGGAGTACCAATGAACCAGTGTCAGACACCTTGGATGTTTTTGTTGCCAACAAAGATGTTCAGCATGACTTATTGTGTAAGTAACATGCTAGTATTCAATGCACTCCAGATGATGAGGTAATCCAGGCTGCACAACTGATACCATCAAGTACAAATGTACATTTGTGCTGGATTTTGCAAAATTTTAATTTAATCATTCTCTTTTCTAATTCCAAAATTCAAACACTGGCTAAAACCTTTCCAGCAAGTGCGGACTTGATGTCTGCTACTAGACCGGTTTCATCAACTTTCTGTACTAGAGCTGTAAACCCGTTGGATGAGTATGTACACAGAGCACAGAACATGCTAAACTCACAACAGTGACTGGAAGGTGAGGGTGTGCAATGCATTTAAGGTTAACAGAAACACAAAATGCCTTCATGCAAGCTCAGAAGATATACCATTTGTTGTGATGGCCTTGACACCAGGAAGTGATTTGGGACACATCAGAGACATGGCTAAACAATGTCACTCTGTTTCACAATTAGAAACTTCACTGCAACCAGCACAGAATCTTGGTAATGACTGCTATCAGCTAAAACTTGAACAACCTATTAACAGAATATCTGCCATTTTCACTAAACAGAATACACCTTTCAAAATTTAATTTGGTCCTTGCTCAGAACTTTCTGAAGTGCCCCCCACATTGTGAGCAAAACTAAAAATCACGTGGGCACCTCCTTATAGAGTGACTCTCAAGGCCAGTGCTCAGTTGCCTAGAATAAGGCAATATAGGCTTTCTCCAAGAGCTGTCAAAGGCATAGAAGGTGTTATAGAATCACTTTTAGAGCAAGTTGTGCTTGTCAAAATGTTCAGCCCATGTAATACACCTATTCTGCCTCTAGAGAAGGCCGGTCGACCTGATGATTGGCATTTTGTTCAAGATTTAACAGCAATCAATGATATTGTCACTCCAGCTGCACCAGCTGTTACGGATGTCAATTCAGTCCTAGTTTCTTTACCATTTAAATCTAGCCACTACACAATCATTGATCTATGTTTGGCCATTTTCTCAATTCTGTTGCACCCAGACATTGCATTTATTTTGAAGGAGGCCCAACAAAGCAGGACTAGAACCCCTCGAGGTTACTGTGAGAGTACTGCACTGTATGCAACAGCAGTTAAGCATGATTTTGATGACCTGGCCTCCCAGGGGGGTCCACACTTCTGCAGTATGCTGACAATCTGTTGATAGCCTCATTGTCAGAGGAGGCTTGTCGAGTTGACTCTGTTGCACTCATGAAACACTTGGCAGAGCGTGGGGACAGAGCATCATCGGCCAAACTACAATTTTATCAACCACAGATAAAATATTTAGGACATTTACTCAATAAAGGTCACAGACTTTTGTCACCAGACAGAGTGAAACCATTGCTCAATATGGATCCAACAAAGACAAAGAAAGACTTGTTATCATTTTTGGGTATGGCTAACTGGCTGACTATGCTCTGCTCAGCCACTTTACAAGCTCCACCAAAGAATGTTGTATAAACAAATTAATGGTGTAAAGCACTTGAGGATATTAAACATGCTCTCTTCTCTGCTGCAGCGATTGGTCTGCTAGAGTATATGCAGCCATTCCACCTCCCCGTCAGTGAGAGCGAAGGCTTTGCCTCAGAGGTCCTAATTAATTAATTAATTAATTAATCATTGCATTTATATAGCGCCTTTCTAGTTGCCCAAAGCGCTTTACTGCTCATTGTTCGTTCACTCCACACTTGGTGGTGATAAGCTACTATTGGAGCCACACCTGCCCTGGGGCAGACTGACGGAAGCAAGGCTTCCAATCTGGGCCCTTCTGACCACCATCATCACTCACGCACACTCCACTTTCATACTTGCCTACGGACACAATGACAGTTTTTGCCACTGGCACCCCACTGTGGCACCTGATTTTTCCAGTGGTCTCTCATCCAAGTACTAACCAGGCCCAGCCCTGCTTAGCTTCTGAGATCTGATCAGCCTTTGACAAGCTGGTATGGCCACTTAAAAGGTCATCATTAAGCTTAAACGCTCACCTCCCCTTAACCCCGCCACTCTTTTACCAGTTTCAGCAACTGATGATGAACATAATTTTGTAGGAGTAATTGAAAAATGTGAAGCTCACACTAATGGTACTGAGCCTGACGCACGTGGAAATACGCTAACTGAAAATACAGCTAAACAAGCAACAAGCAGCCATTTTCTCTTCCCTCACTGTAATCCAGTGTACCAGCGTACAGCCGCCCGAACCATTTGCTTTGCCTTCCATTAATGATGTTGTGTATTTACAAAACGGTGCTGATAAAAAGGAGAAAAGGATTTGGATATGGAGTGCCTGTAAAAGTGATGAGGAGTTGGGCTTGTGGCCCAGTCCAGACAGCCGGCCTGTCTGTCCTCCGTATATTGGTTTGTGTAGCTCACGGACCTTTACATGCAGGAAAATCTGCAATTTCACAGAACATCTTAGCACAATGGCTTGCACCAGGACAATCAAAAATGCCACAGGATCTTGTACAGAGATGCATGATTTGCCTTCTAAACAAGAAAGGCATGACACAACCATCTTCCTATGCCAAGAGGACCATTCACAAGCCTGCAGATAGACTTCACACACATACCACCCTGTCAGGGATTCAAATACTTGTTAGTAATCACTGACGCTTTTTCTAAATGGGTGGAAGCGTTTTCAGTACGCAAGGAGGATGCAGTGACAGTGCTAAAGTGTCTCATGAAAGAAGTTATCCCCCGGTTTGGAGTGCCACAATACATTAATAGTGACAGAGGACCAGCCTTTGGCTCAAAAGTAACTCGGCCTTTGTCAAAGGTTTTGGGTTTTGAATGGGCTTTGCATGTTCCATGGTACCCACTAAGTTCAACTTATGTTGAGAGAATGACTGTCACAATTTAAGAGCACAATTAAATGGCCAGATGCATTGCCCATTGTGTTTTATTCTATTAGAAGCTCACCCAACAGAACAACAGGGCTGAGTCCACATGAGGTCTTGTTGGGAGACCCATGTCCACTGAGGTAAGTCCTTCACTTTCACCTCATAAAATCACCTTGTTATGGACTGAGGAGTACCTTGCTGACTATGTCAAAGCACTTGTTGATGTAACCAGGAGATTTCATTTACAGGCTCAAAATAGGGTCCTGAGGCCTTCTGAGGAGAAGACATACACTTGTGTACCAGGTTATTTTGTACTAATTAAAACATTGGAGAATTGTTCTCTTCTTCCCAGGTGGAAGGGGCCATACCTGCTGTCACTGACCACACGGACAGCTGTTAAGATGCAGGGGAGGCTAGAATGGATATACACCACGCGATGCCAAAAGGTCCCGGTGCCAGAGAAGGGAGAGGGGGAAAGACAAAACCCTCCTGCTCCTCTGCCAGAGGGCCCAAGCATGAGTGTGCAGTAGAATGGTGATCCTACTACTACTTGCACTCCTCCTACTTGGTGGAGTGGTGTACTGGTCACACACCGACCAGTCCAATTAGTTGGGAAAACATCCAGCTCAACTCCAGGGCCACCACACAGATCCTATCCAAGGTAAATAATGACCTGGCCAATCAAGAACTGGTTTTATTTTTATTTAACTTTTTTTTTTTTTTCACTTTATTATTATTTACTTTAATATTTATTTTACATAATTTTATTTGTTTTAATTTTACTTATTTACTTCATTTAATTATTTACTTAATCTATTAATTTATTTAAATTAAAATTTTAAGTTTTGCTTTTACATTTTAATATTTACTTATTTCACTTTAAGTTTCAGCATTTTGATTTTACTGATTTGGTCTAGTCTCAATTTCATTTTACTCATTGAATATTTTGACTTGTTTATTCAGTAAATTTCAGTTATCGATTTGCTTAAGAAAACTTTAATATTACTTATTTTATCTTGTGTTTTGATGTGTTTTATTTTGTTTTATGTTGAATGTCTGAACAATAAAGGCTTTGTCTGTCTCAATAAAGAGTATTGTGATGTGACAAGCTAAATTAAGAAGCTAAGCTAATGCTACATACCCATTGTCAATAAACCATTACTTGAGGTGTTCTAAGAAGATTGTTTAAAAATGAAGAAAATCGTTTCTTGGGATTATACCTGTTAGGGAACTTGTGGTGTGGGTAGAATAATCCCACAAGATCCGTGACATAAGGGCATGACCCTCGTGACCCTTGAGATAATAGACCCGAATTATTTCTAATGCAATACATTGCAATGGACTTTATTGCTGGCATGCACTGATGCAGTCATCTGTTCAATGAGAAGAACACGGACCTGAACATGGACCTGAGTCTTAGACTTTTACTGTTCCCTGACAGTTGGCTCTTAGGTTTGCGAACTGAGGTTTGGCTCTCAGTGTCCCCTTCTATAGTATCTCTTTAGCAGTTGATACATGTTTTTTTTTTGTTAATGACAGTATTCACACGGATTGGGTGGTTGGTGTAGCTAATGAAGAACATGTCTCGGTGCTTTTGGGGCCCCTGGGAGGGGGTCATTCAAATTCATCATGGGCCACAATGTTGATGTTGTAATGTTGATGTTGATTTTGCTATGGCTATTCAATTATTGCTATTTGTTTATGTGGCTGATTGAGTGTTCCAGTCTGAGTATGCTTCTAAGATAGATATTCATTTCAGTGTTTAGTTGAAACCAGTAGAAAGGGTTTCAAAAGGGAGGAACAGTAAGAGAATTTAAGTAATTTATCCTCCATGTACATTTCTCAGTTTCACCCTGGCTCACCCGAACTATAGTAACAGAATCATCTTCCACCGGCATACCATTGGCATACCTTCAACTGTGGCACATTGCTGTCTAACCGGTATCTACTGGCCTTCATAGTCTCACCACACTCACTTTATAAAGCTCCTCCTGTGGAAACACAGTGAAGGGTCTTGAACACTCAAAGATCATACTATGTTCACTTTTGAATCATACTATGTTGACTTTTCAAGTCCCCCGGGCCTGTATTATTGATGGTAAATAAACTTCTGCTGCTTAAGAAGTCCAGTTGGTCTCTAGCCTTTTACTTCCACCCTTTCTTGGAAAAGCTGAAAACTTCTACAACACTTTGGACCACTGCAAACATTTAAAATTAACAAGTCCTGTTTTTCAAGTGGTCAGTAAAGTAAAGTCTTACCAGCAGAGCATGTCCGGCATCCTTTGGTATCAGGGATTTTAGTGGTCACTGCAAGCTTCCTGAGGATACAAACAGGACAGAAGAGCATGAGAACACTATGAGGACATGGGAAACATTGAGACTATTGTGGGAGACAGAGAATACAATGAGGACACAGGGGGACAGAGGGGGCAGGTTGGGGTAAGTACCTGGGCAGCAGGCGGTGAGTGGGTATGCGCTGGTCTCGGCGTGCCTGCTCGTACAGCTCTTTGAGAGAGTGTGAGTGAAGCTGTGAGGACTTACCTAAAACATGCATGACCAAATGTCACACACTTTATAGTAAATGTGCATTGTTTAAAGGTCCTATGTTAAACATTCACATACGTTAGAAATAAGCCTTTATTATTAGTCTGTGTGCTTCTCCAAAGCTCAAAATGGTCTTCTTCCAAATGATTTTAATGAAGGTGTATGGAGTTTAAAAACATATTGGAGCACTTCCTGTATTATCTTATGACATCACAAGGTGGAACAGAGGGTTTTCTGTTTGAGAGAAGAACTCGGCCTAAATATGCAGGGCTTGTGTTTTAAACGTGTGAATGAAACAAAACACAACTCCAGGTCTGTTTGTGATGAGGAAACAACACTATTACATAAATCAGAAAATAGTGTAATAAATAGAGAAATCATGACAGTTGGCCCACCAAGCATATTGTGTTCTTCTCTCAAAGTGAAGACATCCAGTTCCACCTTGTGATATCATCAAGATGTAATACAGGAAGTGCTCCACTGTGTTTTTAAACTCAATACACCTTCACTAAAATAATAAAAAATGTGCAGCACTGGAGTTGAAAATCTTTCAAATAACAGCTATTGTTTGAACCTTGTTGATAGTTCTTTGTGTCTTGGTGAGTCGGAAGATACTGTAAAATTTCTGTGGCGATCTCAAATGAACAGAAGATAAAATACAAATATTTTTAAAAAGGCAATAACTTAAGTTTTCTTGTCACACCTGTTATTTTACCACATCAGAGCTTGAGGTGGAACAGAGCATTTTGAGCTTTTGGAGATTACTCAAACATGAATAAAATTAAACAAATTGTGAATGAAACAAAACACAATTCCAGGAATTTAGGCACCTGAGTAGCATTTAGTGCTAGGTTTTCCACTTGAGTAGGTTTGTATAAAGCAGAACATGAGCTCCATATGTTACCTGACACGGACATGAGGACGTTGTTGATGTGGTAGACCCAGGTGCACTTCCCTGGATACAGCTGAGAGACAGAGAAGCGGTTAATTCAGAAACTCGACATATGAGCTGGTTTTACACTTGTTTTAGTCCAGCTCCTGCACCATAATTCCATCCTTCCATAAATGATGAACTGAATATGATGCCTAAGACCAACACACCCACTACACTATAGTACACTTTAAACACTGTTCTAGTTACCAGCTCCATGGTGGCCTCAGCGCTGTTCAGGTTGAGTGTGTAAATACCCTCCTCAGCCCCCAGGATCAAGTGCTGGTCTGGAGAACAATAAAGTCAAACCGAAAGAACACAGGAGAGCAGGCGCACTCACACACATACGCACACGCACACACACGCACGCACACACACGCACACACGCAAGCGCGCACACATGCGTACACACATGAACGCGTGCACACACACGTACGCACGCACACACGCGCGCGCGCGCACACACACAAACAGAAAGAGGGAGACAAGGCAGCAGGTTTGAGGGAAGTGTACCTTTGTTGGCTGGGTGTTCCCATGTGCTTGAGCAGTGGATCTTCAGAGGACACCCGTGGAAGACCTTCTTAAAGTGGACCTGGGCAGGAAACACAAATACAGTATGACCAAATTCTTTTGTAGTGAGTGTGGTGCCCAATCTTGTATAAGTGGTGCTCTTGTCGGGAGTGTAGCGCTCTTGTTGGGAGTGTAGCGCTCTTGTTGGGAGTGCAGCGCTCTTGTTGGGAGTGCAGCGCTCTTGTCGGGAGTGTAGCGCTCTTGTCGGGAGTGTAGCGCTCTTGTGAGTGTAGCGCTCTTGCTGGGAGTGTAGCGCTCTTGTTGTGAGTGTAGCGCTCTTGTCGGGAGTGTAGCGCTCTTGTTGTGAGTGTAATGCTCTTGTCGGGAGTGTAGTGCTCTTGTCGGGAGTGTAGTGCTCTTGTCGGGAGTGTAGTGCTCTTGTCGGGAGTGTAGTGCTCTTGTCGGGAGTGTAGTGCTCTTGTCGGGAGTGTAGCGCTCTTGTGAGTGTAGCACTCTTGTTGTGAATGTAGCGCTCTTGTGAGTGTAGTGCTCTTGCTGTGAGTGTAGTGCTCTTGTCGGGAGTGTAGTGCTCTTGTCGGGAGTGTAGTGCTCTTGTTGTGAGTGTAGTGCTCTTGTCGGGAGTGTAGTGCTCTTGTTGTGAGTGTAATGCTCTTGTCGGGAGTGTAGTGCTCTTGTCGGGAGTGTAGTGCTCTTGTCGGGGGTGTAGTGCTCTTGTCGGGAGTGTAGTGCTCTTGTTGTGAGTGTAGCGCTCTTGTGAGTGTAGCACTCTTGTTGTGAATGTAGCGCTCTTGTGAGTGTAGTGCTCTTGCTGTGAGTGTAGTGCTCTTGTCGGGAGTGTAGTGCTCTTGTCGGGAGTGTAGTGCTCTTGTCGGGAGTGTAGTGCTCTTGTCGGGAGTGTAGTGCTCTTGTCGGGAGTGTAGTGCTCTTGTTGTGAGTGTAGCGCTCTTGTGAGTGTAGCACTCTTGTTGTGAATGTAGCGCTCTTGTGAGTGTAGTGCTCTTGCTGTGAGTGTAGTGCTCTTGTCGGGAGTGTAGTGCTCTTGTCGGGAGTGTAGTGCTCTTGTTGTGAGTGTAGTGCTCTTGTCGGGGGTGTAGTGCTCTTGTTGGGAGTGTAGTGCTCTTGTTGTTAGTGTAGTGCTCTTGTTGTGAGTGTAGTGCTCTTGCTGTGAGTGTAGCGCTCTTGTCGGGAGTGTAGCGCTCTTGTCGGGAGTGTAGTGCTCTTGCTGTGAGTGTAGTGCTCTTGTCGGGAGTGTAGTGCTCTTGTCGGGAGTGTAGCGCTCTTGTCGGGAGCGTAGCGCCCTTATCGGGAGCGTAGTGCTCTTGTTGTGAGTGTAGCGCTCTTGTCGTGAGTGTAGCGCTCTTGTCGTGAGTGTAGCGCTCTTGTCGTGAGTGTAGCGCTCTTGTCGGGAGTGTAGCGCTCTTGTCGTGAGTGTAGCGCTCTTGTCGGGAGTGTAGCGCTCTTGTTGTGAGTGTAGTGCTCTTGTTGTGAGTGTAGTGCTCTTGTTGAGAGTGTAGTGCTCTTGTTGTGAGTGTAGTGCTCTTGTCGGGAGTGTAGTGCTCTTGTCGGGAGTGTAGTGCTCTTGTTGTGAGTGTAGTGCTCTTGTTGTGAGTGTAGTGCTCTTGTCGGGAGTGTAGTGCTCTTGTCGGGAGTGTAGTGCTCTTGTTGTGAGTGTAGTGCTCTTGTTGAGAGTGTACTGATTCACTCACCGGACGTTTCTTAATGACAGGGCTAACACACTCCACAGCATCCTGAAATAAATAAGCACTTCAAATGGAGTAAATGTAGGTATTAAATGACATGACAAGTCTGCTGTGAGTGTAGTGTCAGTGTAAATGCTAAATTGAAGGTATGACCTGCAGAACTCCAGGTCATACATGTATGGATAAAAACAGTCTTGCAGCCATTTTTCAACAATAAAAGCAAGTACATCTCAATTCTTTTCACAAAAACCTGTGGGAAAATGAATGAGGAAGTTGTGGGTCAGTCAAGCTCCATTAGTTAAGCACTAAACTATGTTCATCTGAGGGGAGGAAAGTTGGATTTTGTTCTAAATGATCCCATCTCTTTCCCTTATGTCACTAAAACAAACCAACAAACTTCAGATTACCCTGAGTTTAGCCCAAGACTGCACCAGAGTGGGTGATAATTCTCTGTATATAAAATATAGAGCACCAGTAAGGATGCCAGGCTCATGCAGTAGGTCTAGGCTTTCTTATGTCCATTTTTCCACAAAGTCACTTCAGTTAGAATTTCTAATGTATTTATCTGATCAGGGATAATGCAAAAAGACATTAACCTTGATGGGTTGTTGATGGAGACCTTATTTAAATTGATTTATCAGAATTGAATTGAATTTTATATTAAAGGATCAGTAAAAAAATTTAAATAAAAAATTAAAGTCGCGTGTAGCGATGGTGGCCCTCACCCCGGCGCGCACCCCCCTCCCACGTGACCGCGGGGGACTCGCGACCACCTCGGCTTGACACTCTCTCTTCCCGACAGCTGCCCAGACCAACAGCTCATCTGTTACAAAAATTACATAATGCACCTTTAAATGTTTCTGAGGAGTCATTGCGCCCCTACTGGCCAACCGTGAAAAATGCCCAATATCCGTAATATACTTTTTTGCTCACAATCATGCATAGAATATAATCCCTGAATTTGGTACAAGTCCGAAAATGTTGACATTAATGTTTATGCTAGGGGGCGCTATAGTGTAAATTTTTCATATAGTTTATAGTGTATTATAATCAGACCAAAATCACGAATTAGTGATTCAAATTTCAGCACATTTGGATTAAGCCTGTGGGTGTAATAATTTTTTAACTATTTTTGGGGGGAGTCTTGGTGCCCCTGCTGGCCAACAGTGGAAAATGCCCCATGTCCATAATATAATTTTTTGCTAGTAGTCATGCGTAGAACTTAATCCCTGAATTTGGTACAAATTGTTGACGTTTCATGTCTATGGTAGGGGGCGCTATGGAGTTCAGTTTTCATATGTTTTACAGTGTATTATATTCAGACCTTAATCACGCATTAATGATTCAAATTTCAGCATGTTCGCACTAAGCCTGTGTGTGTAATTATTTTTAAAGTATTTTTAATTTTTTTTCTTTGTGCCCCTGCTGGCCAAATGTGAAAAATGTACCATGTCCGTAATAGACTTTTTTGCTTGTAATCGTGCATAGAATTTAATCCCCGAATTTGGTACAAATCCGATAATGTTGATGTTTCATGTCTATGCAAGGGGGCGCTATAGAGTTCAGTTTTATTAGATTTCATATTTCATTACATTCAGGCCTGGATCACGCAATTGTGATTTGAATTTGAGCTCTCTAGGCCAATGCCTGTGGCCGTGACAGGTCACAGAAGAAACAGGAAATGAAGGTGTTTTTCGCCAGCGTGCTACGGGCAAACCGTAAGAAGTATCAAAAAACCTTCTGATGCATTTTTGTGAGTTTATGGCCCCGTTTACACGTACCTGGGTATTTTTAAAAACGGAGACATTTCCCTTCTACACAGCTTTTACACGCAAATGGCGAATTCACCTCTGAAAACTAATCTTTCTAAAAACTCCGGCTAGAGTGGAGATTTTGGAAAACTCCGGTTTCACGTTTGTGTGTAAACTGAGATAAACTGAGTTTTAGGAGCTGACGCGCTGACAGTGCGACCGACGCATTTCTTCTGATTGTGCACAGGAGCACTCATAAAACAGCAACATCAGCACATCAGCCCGGAGCAGAAGCTCTGAGCTCGGGCAGCAGCGCCAAACACACGGGAGCATCACTGCAGCGCGCAGCTCCTCAAGATGGGGCTTTGGGTCCAGTGTTGGTCAGATTGTCTGGAGGCTTCGTCCTCCATGTCCTGGTTCCAGACGGGGGCGAGCAAGACCAGCGCACAAAGGACTGGGTCCGAGTGCTTCAGTGCAGTCATCTGTGCGCTGGTTCCGTGCGGGAAAAGCGAGAATGTGCTGTGGACCACAGGTCCGGACGGGCTGCTCCGGTCCTCCAAGCTCGATTGCGGCTGGTTCCGAGGTGGTGCAGCATCCGGACAGAAGCATGAGTCCCGTTTGATTCGTTATATGTTGTTCTGAGTGGTCCGTCCACCCACGTGATTTTTTTTTTCCAGGGAAAGCGCTTCTCAGGTGGAGGACACCACCCCCCACTTCAGTTCATCTGTTTGTTCTGCTGAAATACTTTTCATGTGTTTGCATTTGCACACACAGCTGATGGATGAGATCCATGACTAGAGATGAACAAGGGCTCGGAGGTCAGTGATTTTGACACTTCTTTAACCGATCTCCGGAGAAGCGAGCCCACTCACTAATGCACATTTTTCAAGGTATTTGTGAGTAATAGCCTACTTACAACTGGGTCCGGTCAAGTGGTAACGGAGGGAAACAGGGGCAGATTTTTTACATTCAAATACCTCTTATTCAGAAACTAGAGGGACTATTGAAATAAGTAAGGTATTAGAATGTAGGAAAGAGTTAACACTCCAACAGGGTAAAGTTAAACCTATGATATTCTTTCAAGTTGTTGACAAAAAATTAAAAACTCATGTCGGTAATGGAGGGAATGAAATATGCAGCACGTTTTGGGCAATAAATATAAAAACAGTGATAACTAGCGGTTCTCACTTACATATCCTTAACAAACTGGTTTGAATATTTGCTTCATATAGTTTTCTACCATATGGTACAAGATTAGGTTGAAAAACCTCTTACTTTTTGAGTAATGACATTTTTTATTAAGAAAGGTCATGGTAACGGAGGGAAAAGTAACAGAGGGAAAATTGTGCAAGCAAGTAGAAGGTGCATGATTTTGCATAATTTGTCAGCTTTTTTCTTCCGAATACTTTAATATTACTTCAAAATGAAAGGAAACTATTTCTATAAAATATGTCAGTCCTTCCAAGCTAATTTTTATCATTTTAAATAATTTTTTTTTGAAAAATCATGTACCTTCATCAACAGTTCAAAGATGGAATAACACAAGATATGATGAAATACATCAATTTATTGACATGATTTGCAGGTCTTTGAAATTTGGGAAATAATTTTTGTTCCATGTTTCATACATGGTCTGATTAAAACACATGTAACTTTAGAACCAAAAATGCTACAGAAAAAAGGTAAACAGTTTCATAAACTAGAGTACGCTATCTGTAGTATGCTATCTGTTGAATACATTTTTATATCAGATGCATTAATTTGAATTTTTAGCCTTGCTGTATACTTCTGCTTGACCAGGCCCAGCTGTAATGAAATAAATGCTACAGGTTTGAGTCTAATCCAGGTGTCGCCCAGAGGCTCGGTGTAGTTCTAACAGTGTTCGATGTCGTATTTATCTGGGTTGATGTAAACGGAAACTTTTTTGAAAACGATGCTGTGTGCACGATGTTATTTTGGAAAACGGAGGGAGGGAAATATTCGTTTCTCAAAATACCCAGCTACATGTAAACGTTGCCTATGTCTGAAGATGTAACATGTCAAATCTGAGCTCATTTGGGACTTGAATCTTTTTGTAGACACCCAAGTCAAAACGGCAGCGAATGTTTGATCCAATATGGCTGACTTCCTGTTTGTCATAGGGTCATGCTCCAGTTCATCTTTTGGCTTGTCTCATTGTTCTGTATCACTGTCCCGAATTTCATTTCCCTGCGACAAATTTTGCCTGTCCCTATTCCCATAGGGGTCCAATTCTAGGCGGCGCTGTTGAGTCAGGTCACTTCAGTCATTGTCGCGATGCCCATTTTATAAAATTTTTCGATGGGCCGGTCGATCTGATACCCAGTTTGGGGACTTTTCGTCAATGTTCAGGGGGTCAAAAATGCGAATATTTGGTCAGAAAAAGAATAATAATAAAAAGAAACCGACGAAGAACAATAGCCCTCACCAGTTACTACGTTACTGGCTCGGGCCAATAATAATAATGCCTAATTGTACACAGAGGCAACAGAAAAATTAACTTTCCCTATCTGGAAGGGCACCAGCTACTACGTGCCCATGACCCAAGACAAGTAAGACATTCAATGGATACAGTTTTCCCAGTAATAAGTTTGACACCTTTACACAAATATTATATTACTATTCAGCAGAGGAATAATCGATGAATTTGAGATAAGCACTACTTCACTGAGGTTCAGCAAAGACTACAGGAGTGCAGTTGGGGTTACCTTGGCTGTGAGCTGATGTCGACGTCCTTTGGGAGGCAGTTCAGGAGGCCGAAGGACTGCCGGAGAGCTGAGCTGTGCACTCAGACCTGTGCAAAAAGAAGAAATGAAAGATACATTTGATTGAACAGGCTGGACAGGCCGCTGAACAGTTCCTCTGATTATGTTTATGAACACAGTGTTTACGGATTGGAGGAAATGTTCAAACCTGAGTGGTTGACGTGGCGAGGGGGGGATAGGGGGTGATCTGCTAGAGAAGGAAGCAGGTCTGGAGTGCTCTTCAGTCAGGCTGTCCTCAGAGCCGCTGCTCAGTTTGCTCTGTAAAGACAACAGGAAGATCAAGAATAGTCCCAAATATGAAGCCAGCTTTAATGTGAGTGCAGCAAATGTGTGGGACCTTAGGAGGGAGTGGGGGGTCTAGTGGTGTATGCTGTGTCAAAGATCAGGGATCTGCTGTCTGAAGGTGGAGACATGGGGAGTTGGCTGTTGTGTGGGGATCTGTGGGGTTGTAAGGTTGGCCTGAAAGGGTCAGAAGCACACGGCAACATTGTCATTAATGCACATATGCAAATTATAACACCAGTGAGAGTTAATGCTGGCTACAGGTCAGGAAAATCAACTTTTCAGGTCTAGATGGAACAAAATGATTTGACTGATGCCTTCATATTCTTAAGAATGTAGTATATATTCCGTACACGTCAATATCATCATAATCGTCGTCTGAGTCCGAATCCTGGGTCCTGCAGACAGACAGTGCATTAGTGTGTTAGCTTACTGGTTGTGTTGGGTGTGGTGAGCAAGCTCATTTACCTGGTAGAAGTCTGGTTACAGCGGCTCAGCTCTAAAGGCTGCACCTGTGGAGACATGCTGGTAAATTCCAAACTGACACTATTGAATTGGGCTTGCACAGTGTACAGAATCTTACTGTGGCACGATGGTCAGAGCCACGTTTGATGGGCCTCTGGGTGGTGCAGTCCACTGCCAGGCACATGCAAATGGAGTTACACATTATCTACCAGTTCAAATGTTGGAACAGCTCATGTGGTGTGCACTCACTGTGTGTGTCTGAGCTGGTGCGCTCTGCTAGCCTGTGTTTGTGAAAAGACTGGATCCTCCTTAAAGAGCCAGGGACCACCTTCATTTGGAAAAACAGTGAATGACAATTAGTTCATCTGTTTATGTTACTGCTATCCTACAGGCGAGGAGCATGTACCTCTATATCATCATCATCAGTTGCCACACAGGTTTTCAGTTTTTCTGGATGCCGATAACAATCCAGGAGCTCCAGGGTAAGTTCTTGGTTCAGACCACGCTGTATCACAAATGGGTTCTGACAGAAACCACAGAGAGAGACTTTAGAGCAGTCTGGAGTACAACAAAACAACTTCAAATCCTCCCCTGCAAGTGGTCCTTATCCCAATATTCTGATTATATACTATCTGCCCTGGGAGTACACCAATCTGTGTTCTGTGATTTCTCCAGCGCCTTAAACACTATCCAGACGCTGATCTACCTCACTTTGTGAGAGACTCTCTGTCCTCTTAAGAACCATCAAGAGCTATATCAGAACAAGTATAAGAACACATAGACTAGTTTATGTATACCCATGGACCACTATGGACCCTACCTGGACCATTGAGAGATTACACAGGTATAAAGCCACATGCTAATAAAAAAGAAAGTACTACAATGTAATCTTGAAAATTACATTCTATTGTCTTAAAAGTTTGTTTCTTATTATCATTGTGGTATTGGAATTGGTATTCAGTATCAAGTCACCTATCCACTTATTACAGCCATATTATTATTCTACTTGCATGGTGCCGTATAAAAGTATTTTAAGTTCTTTAAAGACAGTTTATTCTTGATTTACTTCTAGTTTAATAAAACTGGGTTCAAATTAGCATTTACCCAAAAAACTAGTCCTTCTTCCTCAGAGATCTACATGAGCTCCTAGGAGACATGAGTGGGAAATGAGGGCCATACTCACTGTGAGCATCTTGGAAGCACTGGGTCTCTTACTGGGCTTCTTCACCAACATGGCCTTCACAAAGTTATAGAATGTAGAAGACCTGAAAACAGAGAATGTGAAACCAGAGTCTGCTCCTAGCACACTGTCACAACATGAGAAACAGTCAACAGTACACTGGAACTACATTAGTGCTATCGTGCTGTCTGGTCTTCACTTGCAGTTTGGAGCTAAAATGCATCCCATAAAAATTGTACTATGACCACAGACTGCATAAAGAAGTGGACTAAGGGTCTGTGACTTCACCCAGTTAAATGAAGCTTGTTGAGCCTAGTGGTTAAAAGGGAGAATTTGGAGCCAATTTCCATATTTGCTATCTGCTAACTGCAAATATGTGAGGCTGCTGAAGACAACTCTGTCAATCAAACCTGTTTTCTAACTCTAGTGGAAGTGACCTTGGGGAAAAAAGGAATTTGTCTGTTATATTCATATCTTGATTCACAAATAAAATACCAAAATAAACCCCAGGATCATGTAGAGCAGGTTAATATGAACATTTTAAGAACAAAATGACAAATCTGACAGCAGCAGTTAAAGAGAAAGGGAAAAAGTTTTTCTGAATAGAAAGTGAAGAGCCGATTGAGCTGGAAGCGTACCCTTGCTCAGTCATGACTATGACAAAACATAATGCCAATGTAGTGTTTACCATTTGGATTTGTCCTTGAGTTTTGGAGGCTGGTATCCGCTCTTGGACATGAGGAACAAGACCCTGTAAAGAGAGTGTGCTTACAGTTATCCAGGGCTGAAGACACGTAAGAAGTGTGGACGAAGACGTGTGTGTGGAAGTTGTTGTGGGGTGCGTGCATGTGTGTGTGTGAGTGTGGGGAGTTGCATATGTGTGTGTTTTGGAGGTGTGTGTGTGTGTGTGTTGAAAGTTGCATGTGTGTGTGCTTGGGGCTGTACCTGAGTGGGTGCAGGTCAAACAGAGGGGGCTGTAGCTCGGCGAGCTCGATGGCAGTGATCCCTAGAGACCAGATGTCACACAGCTCATTGTAGCCTCCTTTAATCTCCACTGCAGCCACCTCTGGAGCCATCCTAACACAGGCACAAGGAAGACACTTTTACTACATACTCTGGAGCCGAGCTGACAGACTATTTATGAGGCTATCAAATAAACAGTACATCAGCAGGTAGTATAAGATGTATTAGATACATGTTTAGCTTAAAGAGGGGGTATTTTCTATGGGGCGCTAACACATAATATCACCATGTTAACTTTAGTTAGTTTGCAAATTGCTGAAAACAGTCACTCCCCCTTCAGAGCACTATCACAACACAATCAGTGTGCATCCCGCTAATGAAACTACTGCACATCACATCAGGTTTGTAAAGTTATTGTGTATAGTTTTGCATCATGAATTTGTATATTTATGGAAAATTGTCATGTGGCATAGGTTTATAGGCTGAGCTCTGGACAGGATACATCGATCTATCTCTACAGATAACCATAACAAGAGTTCAAATAGGGCCTCAGAGAGATAGCTAAACTACTGAAACATAGATGACATATACCTTTTGTTTTTGATGAGGGAACAACGGAATAACATGTTAGAAACCTCAAGTTGATTTTGTATCATAACCCCCTACAACCCCATAATACCCCTTTAACAGCTTCAAATGCATCTTGAAAATGTGGCTCCCAGTCACTTTATCCCATGGCATATTCACACACACAGCATAAAGCAGGTGCAGGAACTGCACCAGGTCTTAGAACCCACCAGTATGGAGTTCCAATGAAGGACATGCGGCGGGCTAGAGTGGCAGTGATCTGCGCCGAAATCCCAAAATCAGCTGCACACAAACATAACAGGTTTACATAAGGCTGATGACATGGTGAACAAAAATTCAGCTATTCTTTAAATGTAGGGCAAATCGCCATACTGTGATTTCACACTGTAGACACTTTTCCCACCCACCTCTCCAGCTGGCCAGCCTTTACATGGCTGACTTTAACCTATTTATAATCAGTTTTATTGCCATTGTCTGTGAACAAGTTTCACACTCGTGCTTTAGAGTTATGCTGTAAATGGCCATACCAGCTTGTCAAACCCTGATCCCATCAGATCTCAGAAGCTAAGCAAGGCTGAGCCTGGTTAGTATTTGGATGAGAGACTACTGGGAAAATCAGGTGCCACAGTGGGGCGCCAGATGTAAAAACTGTGTCCTTAGGCAAGGCACTTCACCCACATTGCCTAATATGAAAGTAGTGCATGTGTGATAGTGGTGGTCGGAGGAGTCGATGGTGCAGATTGGCAGCCATGCTTCCATCACTTTACTCCAGGGCAGCTGTGGCTACAATATTAGCTTACCACCACCGGGTACGGAGTGAATGACTAATGCTCTGTAAAGCGTCTTTGAGTGTCCAAAAAAACACTATATAAAACTGATGCATTATTATTATTATTATTATTATTACTGAAAATATTTCACTGTTCATCCAAGCAGCTTCTTCATTTCTGGTCGGACTGCATAATCGTTCAGGCCTCTTAATGTTAATATGACTCAGGCACAATTAACACTTTGTGAAGCTCAACAGAGCTAGCTGATAAACTATAAAGAAATAGTGTGTTATTCTCTGTTTTTCAGTTTCTTTTGCAGTAGATCCTGCCTGGATGACTGAGAGATTACACATAAACTATGATAAAATAAAAAATAAGGGCATGCATTAAAATAAAGGAAACTAGAATTTGATACACAATTTACACTATGGGCAGATCAACAGTGCACTGTAAGCAATGAAGCTTCAATGAAGTTGCCTCTTAAAGTCAAAACACATGTGTTTACCTGAACTGTGTGTGAGTGTGTGTGCGTGCGTGTGCATGTGTGTGTGTGTGTGTGTGTGTGTGTGTGTGTGTGTGTGTGTGCGTGTGCGCGTGTGTGCCCCCGCACACAAGCACACAAGCACACAATCACATACCTAGTTTGACCTGGCCCATGTCGTTGAGCAGGACGTTGGCTCCCTGCAGCACAAACACAGTTCAGATCTACTCTGAAAACTGAAAGGATCCATATTACACTATTTTCTGATCTACTGTATATATTAATCCACCACATACCTGGGGTTGATTTGTTTCATTCACACATGTTTGACACACAAATCCAGCAAATTTAGGCTGTGTTTTTCTCGCTAACATCTTTCTCGCTAATACCTTGTGATGTCATGTGGTAATAGAGGAAGTGCTCTGCTGTGTTTTAAACTCCACACACCTTCACTAGAATCATTTGGATGATTTCAGCCCTGGAATATCCAATCTTTACTGAACAAAAGGTAAAAGGTAGCTGTTAACTTGAGAACAGAGCATTTTGAGTTTTGGAGATGTAGACAAACTAATAATAAACAATACTCAAATGTGTGAATGAAACAAAACACAAGTCCAGGTCTGTTAACAGACAAGGTAACAATATTATAACTTGGTTTAAAGTTCACAAGAGTCAATATCAAGTAATTCAGGACCTTGAAGGCAGAATGTAGAAAAGTACCTTTATGTCTCTGTGCATCTTCTTCTGAGCGTGCAAGTAGTCCAGGCCCTGAGTTCAGCACAGTTCAGTTCAAACCTCTCTCCAATTGAACAGCGTGTATATTTCAGCTTCTTTTATCAGAACCAATAACTAGACTAGCACTGTACCAAGTGGGCTTTTTTTTATCCCATATCTTCTGGTGTCTAAAACTGACTGTTTTGCAAAAATGCCAAAGACAAAAAGGATAGCTTTATAATTGCCTGACACAATTAAAGGTCAGTGGAAAACAGATGTAAAGTCTGATATAACTGTAGGCGGGGGACTTTTACATGTTTCAGTAGTTTCTTTTTTGTGTGTGTGATGCTGCCATGTAACTTTCTATAGTTCTCGTCCAAGACCCACACAGCAATATCTGTCATTAGTAGATTCAAGAAGACATATTGTGCTTTTTTGTCGGTAGCTAATATTAAAGTATAAAATACATAAATCATAATTTTCACATACACACAACCACAATATCAATCTGAATGACTTAATAACAGTGACAGGCCTCTGCATAGGGACATTTCCTCATAGCAAGTAGCCTAGCAGATTTTTATTCACTCATTCATGATTTTTTAAGAATGGACAGTAAGTACAAGTGTGTGGGGGGAGATAGGGGGTACGTGAAACCAGAGATGCATGAATCAATCAATATATAACTAAGTAGGCTAATGATGAGGGTTGTTGTTAAAAACACACACAAGTATGATAAATAATAGGCCGGGAGCCAGGTCCACCCCTCAGGATGTTTTTTGCTACCTTTTTTTCACTATTATTTCCTGTTATCTTATATCTTGGGCCATCACGAGTTGATAGGGACCAACCCCAACTCGGCCCCGTTTGGTCTCCGGGCCCAAAAAACACACTTTTTAAGAAAAGCTATTTGCGAAATTATGTAACTGTAAATATTAAGGTACTGTAACTGCATACATGGTTAAATAACCCTAAAATTTGGCATGGTGTATCCTGACACATGGGGGAAACTAGCAGAAAACTATTTTGGGGCTTGCTACCTTTCTACTGTAAAATATCTCCCTCAACATATCCTAAAAGACCCAAAAATGTCTGTCCGCCTGACAAATTGTCATCAAAAGTGGTCATTTTCAAGCATTTTATTGCATTTATCACTGCCTCAAATGTACATAAAAAACAATACTACTACTATAATGTTTGTCCTTTAGTTTGATACTGTAGAGGAGCTGTGTGTGTGGTGGTGTGGTGAGTCAGTACCTGGAGCATCTCTCTGCAGATGAAGGCGATCTGTGGCTCCGATAAGGCCCCTGTCACTGCACAAACACAGCATAACTTCACTAAGGTCATTTTCACACATTACTATCTGCAATCTCTGGACGCACTAGCTTTAGTTCACTCTACTTGTTTACTTTTGCTTCGGCCTTGTTCACATACACTTTGCCACCCTAAATGTGCACCATCAGTCACGTAAGAGTTCGTCATCTGATCGCCGAACATATCCTCATGACAACGCACTGCAAGAGTGCAGAGCCTAGTGTCTACATGCTTTTCTTTCACCTGAGGCTACATCGTGAGGACTTTACGCACTGTTGAATGTGCATCCCCATAAGATAGAATTATAAATATAAATAATGGAACAAGAGAATAGGATACCACCTTTTTCTGCATTGTCACCTGTCAAATCAATCAATCAATAATACTTCATATCAAGTTAAGTGGCATGGGTATTACTTAGAGTGAAACTAAACCAACAGTTACCAGCACACCCTTGATCTTGTTTTAACATATGGTATAGAGATTAGTCACCACACATGTACTCTCTACACCCTGTCTTATCGGATCATTTTCCAATTACGCTTCAATTTACCCTTAAAGATTACTGAAACTATAATGAGAAGAATGATGTATAATCAAATAAATAATTAAACACATTTTAAAGTAACACGGTGTAACTTTCTGGAGGTATCACAAAACCTACATGATTCCATGGACATAGAAAGTCCTATTTCACACAAATTCTCCAATTCAGAATAATCTCCGATCCTCCTGGTCTCTATTTCAAATGTTTAAAAGAATTAGTGATAAGGTGGAAGAAGCAGTATTAATCTTTCCACTGTGTAGGAAACACTAAAACTAAAAGTAATGATAAATGGTCACATACAGTACTTTTCCACCTTCAAGGCATTCAAAGCGCTTTACAACAAGGAACCACCTACCTATTCACACACACCAGTGTACACAGACACAGGGGGCAAGGTGGGTTAAATATGTTGCCCAAGGACACAACAACAGCATTCAGCTAGAATCACACCAGCCAAATGATTGCTGATTTATGTAGAGCGGGATTCGAACCACAAACCTTCAATGGACAAACGCTGAGCTACTGTCATACAGAAGTAATCTTCTGAACTGTATTTAGACCATAGACTGTATATATAAATGGACATTGCTACCTGCTAGCCGCCGCAATCCAAATAGGAACTGAGTGTGGGGGCACTTCCAGCACCATTGACTCTGGCTCTGATTCACTTAACATGGAAAAATGGTCACCCTTCTCTCTGTAACTGCTGCTGCGAGTCTCCTCATCTTGGTTTTAAGATGTTTGTATTAACATGATCCTGGTGTTTCTATTTTGCTATTTGGTCTGTAAATAAGTTCCTATTCCTAATATGGGTGACAATCACACTCCCTTAGTCCACTTCTTTATAAAATCTATGATTCAGACAGAAAGGTGTGACAATGCACATGCTGAAACCTTTCATATAAGGTGTCTCTAAGTTTATTATATTCACTTGAATAAAAAAGTTTCAATCTTTCCGTCATCTAATGATTGGGACATGCTCTTCAGTGATAGATAGATGACAGTCTAGATAGATGATATTGCAGAGAGCCATTCATGGTTGGTCTATATGCTTCCATAATTCCTTTACAGGGTCAGTCTGTGAGAAATCAGACATTTTCATGGAATCTCCCCTATGAGCCACCTCAGATTTGGCTGAAAAAAAAATAAAAAATTCTAAAATCACCAAATGAAAGAATCTCAACTTTTAGCTCAATCCCTTGAGTCAAGTTATGGCCCATTGAAATTTTGAGGCCATGCTCACTTTTTCGGAAACCTTAATTTATAAGCGTGTTTGAGAGACCATAGCTTCATAAAAAATTGAGCTAGGAAGATGAAAATTTGAATTATTGAAGATTATTGGTCATAGATTCTGAATCTGATGTCAAATATTGTGTATCTTTATTAAGGGGGCGCTGTGGGCCCCAAAAATCTCACATTTGGTTGCCACTCAATTTTTTTTTTCAATTTTTGAGGTTCAGGATCTATTTTCTCCAAGCAGATATTTACAAACTAACTGTTGAACCTGAATATTTGAGAGAATGACCATTTCTGGCAACAATCTCACACTTTTCTGAGCTTTCATGTGGATGGTGTAGAGTCCCAAATATGGTCACAGACCAGATTTGACCTTTTTGGACCCTTCTTTGGACCCTCAGTTCCCCACGTGGGCACAGTTAGACATTGATAAACATTTTAACCGGAGAAACTTTGGCATATTCTGATTAGTTTAAAGTAATAAAAACATCTACTATTAACTTCCTTCATTTCAAACAGAATTTTTGAAAATGAGCTCTCACAGGTCATTTTTGGTGGACCTTAGGGACTTTTCCACCTGCAGAAAGGTTCATTTACCTCTAATAGACTTAAACACTATTTGCTTGTTATAAGGGAAGACAATTGGAGATTATTTGTGGTACATTGTTTGGAAAAGTGTCATTAATCCTTTGAGAAAATTCAACTATTAACTCTGTCCAAAATTATGAAAAAAAGTTTGTTTGCATTTTTTATTCTATTTTTATTTGAGAAAAATAATTTGTTATCTCTCAAAGAAACAGCTTTTCATGGTGTATAAGTAAAGCAACAAAAGTTAAGATAGCATTGATAAATACTATAATATAAATTACATTTGGAATATCCATTGCCTGAATCTCTGATTCAGTACCACCATATGTATATTATTTTTGCACAAAAACATTACAAGAAGGCAGTAGCATTAACAAGAAAAAAAATGATACTGACACAAAAGTTACCAAAATACAATAATCTAGTCTGTTATTTGTTCAGATGCTAGAAATTACATTTAAAAACTTCAGTGTGAAAAACAACCTCAGTGGAAAATACCAACATACTGGAAAAATCTGCCCATTCTGGTCCCTTTGCCGCCTCCATGTAGATCTGTGTTGGGATCTTGCACACTAAGTGTTCCTAACTACTAATGAACTTCAGAAGTAACATTTGGATCCTGTCATAATCTGCAGTGTCAAGGCGATAATCTCATGCTCTTCTCTGAATTTCTGGAACCTTAATACAACAGATTATGTGCTGAAACTGGACCCAACATGGTTCTGCCGATGTTCAGGAGGCCAGATGAGAGTTCTGTTACCTCGTTTCATGAATCTCACATAGACATCACCATGTATATTTAAAAATAAATCTGAAATATTCCCAATGAACCACCTGTTGTCATAAATACAAACACTGTATTGACCTGCTGGTACAGAGAGCTATCTGACACAATCTCATTTTGGATTTCAGAAACTGACACTTCAGTACATATGAGATCTTGAGATATTCTCCTTGTTTCTAATTTACCATTTGACACGGGAATGAAACTGTGGTGTGATCTAGTACCATTCACAGTCTTTGCCTTGCTGTAGCTCTTCTAGTTTGGAAGTAAGTTCATGATTTGTAATGTATTTAGAGCTTGTCAAGAAAAACTTTACATTCTTTATGTTTTGTGAAGCCCACTCAAACATCTGGAGTGTGGTCAACATTTGATTCCTGTCAGGTCCCTGAAGACTGGCCCTTGCAGCCGATCGGTTTACAGTGCCACCAAAACCATCACAAACAATGTACCACAAATAATCTCCAATTGTCTTCCCTTATAACAAGCAAATAGTGTTTAAATCTATTAGAGGTAAATTAACCTTTCTGCAGGTGGAAAAGTCCCTAAGCTCCACCAAAAATGACGTGTGAGAGCTCATTTTCAAAAATTCAGTTTAAAATGAATGACGTTAATAGTAGATGTTTTTATTACTTTAAACTAATCAGCATATGTCAAAGTTTCTCTCATAAATTTTTTTTATCAACATCGGGTACCTGTGCCCACGTGGGGAACGACTCTACACAGTCCACTTAGCTCAGAAAAGTGTGAGATTGTTGTCAGAAATGGTCATTCTCTCAAATATTCATGTTCAACAGTTAGTTTGTAAATATCTGCTTTGAGTAAATAGATCTTGGACCTCAAAAAAAAAAAAAAAAAGAGTGGCAACCAAATGTGAGATTTTGGGGGCCCACAGCGCCCCCCTTAATAACGATACACAATATTTTACAACAGATTCAGAATCGATAACCAATAATCTACAATAATACAAATTTTCATCTTCCTAGCTCGATTTTTTATGAAGTTTTGGTCTCTCAAACATGCTTATAAATTAAGACTTCCAAAAGAGGGCATGGCCCCAAAATTTCAACAGGCCATAACTCAGGAGCGACTCAAGGGATTGAGCTAAAATTTGAGATTCTTTCATTTGATGATTTTAGAAATGTTTTGGAAATTTTTTCAGCCAAATCTGAGATGGCTCATAAGGGAGGGGGGCTTATTTCATATGGACTGACCCTATATGCTTTATAACTGCTTTATCATTGTGGTCATTTGTTCTGTTGTGTGAGGTTTGTACTGTAACAGTGTGATTAGTGTCTGACCGTGGTAGATGTCCTGAAGTGAACCTCCTCCACAGAACTCCATACAGATCCACAGCTCATTGTCTCTGTGGGGAAAGCACAGGCTCAGTTACAGATGAAACTCAGACACAAGGACAAGGAGACACTCACTGTATGTAGCTGCCGTAGTAGGCCACGATGTTAGCATGTTTGCAGCTCTTCACGATCACGATCTCTTGTTGGATGACAGAGAAGTCGTCCTCTGCACAGACAAACAGGGGTTTAAGGCAATTCAAACACACAGAGCCTGAAAATAGTAGACCAGAAAAGACCTTGGCCTTGAAAAAGAGATGGCGAGACATCTCAAGGGGCTTATCCTCCAAACTAATACATTCAAAACATCTTATCTTAATTATATTATCCTTGTTGTTGCTACAGTCAGTTCTGTTTCACCACATGGCTAATCAGAGTTGTTTCTGAGGATCTGATGAGCCTGGCCAAACAAACCAGGCTTTGGCTTAATCTGGCTTCATGGAAGATCTCCCTAGTCCATCCCAATCATTTGTAGCTATGGTGCTGTTTTTCTGATTCTGTATTATGAGAACATTTTTACTTCTTCTTACATTTTATTTGATCAGTGTTGTTTATTTGTGATTTACTGGGACACAAAAGGCCTGGTTTGGTGAAATTACCCTTCTACATAGAAGAGAAGACTCCCACCTGGCTCCATCTTGATGCGTTTGAGGGCCGTGAGATCTTGAGTTTGCTTGTTCCGGGCCTAAAAGAAAACCAGATGAAAATAAAGTGAATCACATGTTCTGTCTGAATGTTTTGACATTTATCATTTAATGTCAAGTGTGACCCACTCAGGGAGGTGTTTGTAGTACAAGAGAATGCTTTTGACACCTCAGCAGTGTGTCTGAGGGGGACAGGGAATATATTAACAGTCAGACGAGTGAAACAGAACATGAAGTGTCAGGTGTGAGCCGAGGATGCAAAGGAGGTTAGTGTCACTTGCCTCAAAGACCTCACACAGAACAGACTAAAACAATATGATTCTATCATTAAAGGCTGGTGTGTTAACACACAAATCCTATATTTAGGCTAAGTTCAATTACATCACTAGCTGGAAACATTGTGATGTCATTGAGTGGTGTACATTAAGCTCTCCCCTGTGTTTTTAACACCATACATCTTTATAATCATTTGCATAATTTCTGCCTTTGAATATCTACATCTGCTGTTTTAGCCTTGCTGAAACCTCTGCATTTCTCACATGAGTGAGTTATACAGCCTTAGGTTTAAGCAGACAGTTATACAAACAATAAAGCATGTCACTCCCGTCATTCTTCTTCCACATGAACACTTCAGAGACACAACAGCATCTCCATCTGTTCAGTATAGAGCTTTAAAACTATTCAAAAGTAAATGTCATATTTTCACACTCTCTTCTTTGATATTACCACAAATACACACTCTGAAGTGATTGTGGCAAAAAATAAGCCATAAAATGAAAAAAAAATCTGAAAAACAAATTGAAAGAGAAAAAGAATCAGGTCTGGATATCGCCTAAAAGTGGCTCTGACTAAGTCTAGACCTGTTTTGGAGTTGATAATGTCTTACCATGCAAAGTTTCAAAATAACAGTGCGTAGCTTGTGCTCTTACTGTTTTTATGGTTTTCAGTGTCTTAATCTGCATAAAGGACACATACATGTTATTCCTCATTCTCAGTCCCTCCAGGACCCAAATGAGAAACTCATGTCAGGTTCATTTTATGATTGGATATTGTCTTGAGAACCAAAACACCAAATTATAACATAAACAACAGACGCTGGTGGGCACTTCCTTATATCTGCCTGCAGGGAGGACCTAACTACACTGAAACTATTCAGTATTCATCTGTACTGAGTATTATATATACATATTAGCATCATTCAGGCCCATAATGAGTGCTTTCACACCCCTGGCCCTAACCTGGCTCCCCCTATTGTTCTCTTTGTTTTAGGTTTGAGGATGGGGTTGTAGATCAGAAACAGACAGATGTCTGAGGTCTCCATTTCCGTTCAAGGAAGGATTAACTCTCTTTAACTCTCCTCATTTTTCTCTGGCTAAGATCAGTATGTCACTATCCACAAAAAAGTGGTCCATGGCTTTTAGATGGAGATGTACAGCAGACTGACTCGTCTGTGTTGGTACATCCTCTTGTGTGTGTGTGTGACTGTTTTGTTTCTCCAATGTAACACTCACTGCAAGTCTTGCAATGAGCAATGATGTTTGCATACATTTTTCATGGCTTGAAAATCAGCTACAGCTATAATTATTAGTAAAAGATTTTAACATGTTTACCTCATATTTGGGGACAAAGAAATGTTCATATTTATTGAATTTGCATTAAAATTTTACATACCGTTCCTTTAACCTATATTCACCCACAGCTTTTAAGGAGGAAGTATTTTACTTTTATGGGGTATTAACTGCTAACACTTAACATATTTGTTATATATTCTCTGAAAACAACATTTAACATTTTCATAAATTTCGCTTTAATTTTTGATGCCCTCACTTTGCTCTCTACATTAAGTCAGTCCCCTTCAGAACACTAGCACAACATAATCAACGTGCCTTCTGCTAATGAAACAGCTGCACATCGCATCAAGTTTGTGAAGTTGTTGTGTTTGTATATTTATGGAGCATTGTCGTGCAGGAGAATGCGTGATGTAAGCTTGACATAGGCATAGCCTTGTACAGAATCTTACAGCTAATTGAAAGGGGGGTTTGAGTAAGGTCCAGGAGAAATTGCTAAAATACTCAGACATGAATGGATGACATCTAAAACCTCTTCAGGCATGTTTTTGATGAGGGAACGATGTTATAAAATGGTAAAAGCTAAAAACAGTAATAGTACGGGACTGACCTCATAGGGCCCTGACGTTTGTCTCCATAAGAAAGGAATGTTCTAAGTAAATGTAAATTTAGTCCTGATGTGATAAACACCGCCCACACACATGCACATGAACATGCACACAAAAACACAAACACACATGCACACACACACACACTTCAAATCTCACTTCTTCTTTCTGAGAGCAGGTGTCTCTACAGCAGCACACTCCTAAAACAAGGCAGTTGGGTTCACTCCTGGTTCAGTCCTGATTCAGTCCTAATTCAAGGGCTCTGTCTGTTAACTACAACAGATAATCTATTCATACATAACCTGTCCATTCGTATTCCATTGGTTATTATGCAAAATTCATTTTTGAACTTTCTACCATGTCATAACAAAACATCTGAAGAGGTTTTAGATGTCATCCATGCATGTTTCATTAATCTAGTGACCTCTCCTATTCAAAGCCTTCTTATGGTGAGTTGTAAGACCCTTGACAATGCTCAGAGCATACATCACCCATGGTCCTACATGACAGTTTTCCATAAATATACAAAAACATGATACACAAACAGTTCAATACAACGTGACAAACCTGATGCGATGTGCAGTAGTTTCATTAGCAGGATGGATGCTAATTGTGTGGTTCTAGTGCTCTGACAGGGGAGTCATGGGGGAAGGGAGAACTCAGAGTGTCAAAAACAAAAATGAAATTTAATAGTTTTTAGAGAATATTGCTTTTTCATAACAATAAAAGGTGACATGGTGATCATGGTAATATGTTATGTGTTAGCAATTAATACCCCATAGAAGTGAAATAACCTCTCTTTAAATGAACAATTTTGTGTGTGTGTGTGATTGTGTGCTGGAGCTGTGTGTTAGTGTGTGGGTTGGACTGTTTTGTGCTGCATCTCTCTGGGACAGGTTGGTCCAGCTCTGAAATGCAGCCCTACACTCCAAAGTTCTAGTGACAAGATCTGTAGATCTGACTAGTTTATCTGTTTTACAAAAGTAGTGATTCTACCGGGCACTACTATAAAATAAACATTTGGCATTCCAAATACCACCATGTCTGAAGGACTTTTCAAAGAGTAAAAGAGGAGGAGGAGTATAGTAACTAATTGAGTAATTAGAAGCCACAGTATGTAACTTTTGAACAAACATAGACAGAAAATAAATGTATGTTAATAACACTGAGAAACTTTGAAAACATCCTATCCGAGAGGGCTTGCATCTCCACAAATCTCCCGTTAGACTCTTGTTTTATCTAGAAGAGGGCCTCTGATTGCTTGTTTCCATGGAAATGTTGTTCCTTTGGCTATACTCGTCTACAGTATGGCATAAAACTATGCCATGGAGAATGTTAAAAGTATGGTTTTAACTTGGTTTCCATGGACATATGCAGATGACAGGCCACCTCCAAAAGGGTATAACAGTGCCTTTAATTATTTGTTCTAACATAATGATACTAATAATGCAGATGATTCGTAAACTACAAGAATGTGTCAGGAGCTCTTGTTCTTTTGCTCTTGTGAGTGTGTCAGGAGCTCTGGTTCTTGAGCTCTTGCGGTGGATTGATTGCAGTGAAACAAGTGTTTGTGCAGTGCAGAGACGCGCTGCATGAGTGGGCTCTGTAACCATCCACTGTGACTGTGGGCAGTCCTATAGCACACATGCTGGGCCTGCTGCAGGAGCTCTTTTATTTAGTGTTAACTTACATCTATAATGCAAATGAACAATACCTATTTGAATGTATAGGACTTCCATTTAGATCAATCTTTGAGCTGTTTTTTACTATCGATTATGTATACATGACAAGATAAGAAAAAAAGAAAGTACTATAAGCATACTAGGAAGTACTCTGTCTCTGGGGACTGCAGATGGAAAGTAGCTTTAGCTAAATCTACCATATGATGATAAAATAATAAACTAAACTACTATATTGAAATTAGTATCTAACAAGAAAATCATGCCCTAATAAAAAGTACTTTGAAATCATGATTAATATTGTGAATTCAAATAAATGTAAATAAATGTACACATGGACCAGGCAGAACTGGGCAGTTAGTCACATTTTAGAGATTCTGGCATTTCTAATTTTTTAATGGAGAGTAAAATGAGTAGAATGATTAGAAGACTGTATTGTTAATGTTCATATGTATGAACAAATGCATATTAAAAGCCAGATTTGTTTCTTTTTAATAAGTTAAACATTTAATTTAAAATGAAAACTGGTTAATATGAGGAGAAAAACTTTGGTCCAATAAGGCAATGAGGCAATGAGGCTTATATTAAAAAAAAAAAAAAAAAAAAAAAAAACTGAACTCATCTTTTGTAAGTTAACTTCTTTTGCACTATACCATACATACTTTCACTTCTGATCCAACCACTTCCTCCTCCACAGGGCCTCAGAGGGGACGCCCTGCACTGCTCACACTTATGAATCTCTGACGGTAATTTCACCAACACATCTTTGAAGGAGACTTATCAGCTCGACTTTGAAATGTTTGAAGAGCCACGTGCCATCAGTCTTCTCTGCTCTCACATGTCTTTGGAACCTTAACAGTAGCGCTCTCCCCTCAATGACCTAAAACTACCAATAAAGTATTAATCAAAATTGCAATATGAATGGATGCAATAAGCAAATCACAAAGGCTGCAATTTTTGAAGCACCTTAATTTCCTCCACAAAAAAAAATGTCCTCTCTTATTCTATCTAGCAACTACTAATTCCCATTTTACATCTGTATAAACTAGGATTGCCAAAAGTATTGAAAATCAGTTACTAAAGCTAGTATTGAAACTAGAAACTCATTGGAGCAGGTATTGATACTAAAAACACCACATTCACAGGACATAAATTATCCTTTTGAGAATGTTTTTAGAATGATGTTGAGCTGTATCAGAACAAGCAGAAGAGCACATAGACTAGTATACACACATGGACACTATGAACCTACTGGAACATTGAGGATTACACACATATAAGGCCACAAAGTAATAGTTATTTTAATGCTGAAAATCATAGTCTATAATCTAGATAAAGGTTGTTTATTTATATCATCGTGGTATCAGAATCAGTATTGAGAATTGAGTCCATTCCTTAGCCTTGAAATTAAATTGAAATTTTAGTATCGTGACAACACTAATATGTTCTGAAATGTGATTCTTGTATTAGTTTGTCAGTTCAGGTTTTTGTCCAGTCAAATTACAAATCTAATCACAATTGCAATGCTTGCCAGAAACATCACAATTAATTTATTTCCCAAAATGTGCATCTTATCTGTCTCCATGGAGACAAGCATGTGACACCACCATGCCAAGTTACAGGTCAGATCTGTGGAGAGGCGATAATGCATGTTTTCCCAAGATATTTTGATAATAGAAATATGGGCACTCCAAAGAACTGCTGTGCGGATCTGCTTTTCCACTGAACAGCTATATTTTTACCTTTAGCTCAGTTAAGATAGGTAATTCCAGGTCTAAAATCTTTCAAATGATTCTAGTGAAGGTATATGGAGTTTAAAACACAGTGGAGCACTTCCTGTATTACTACATGACATAAAAATATGGAACAGAGTGTTCGGTTTTTGATGAGGAAACAACATAACATAGAGCAGAAAATATCGTAACATGGGCCCTTTGACAATAAGTCCACATAGCAGTTACTGTGCTATATGACCTTACTCACTAGCTTTCCCGATGTCTGGACAGCAGTTGTGTATTTTGGTCTCTGTAACTGATATTCAACAGTACTAACATCTTTATAAGTTTAATTTGCTAGAAGTGTTGCACATGTTAACATATGTAAGCAATATGTAAATGTGAAATCTACTTTTATGAATCAATGTAATTAGATAAATATAATATAGAGGTACCAGATCTATCTTTTCACACTTGTAGACACATATTTCAATTGTCATGAATGTTTAAGACTCTAACATTAACTTCTGCCTAAATGTAATCACGTTATACTATATTTCAAACAAAGACACATGTCGGACACATCCCTTTTCATTTGACTACTAATAATTGTATTGTCATTTCAAAATCTAACAGTTTCAAGTAGGGTTGTCAAAAGTATCAAAAATCAGATACTAATTAATATTAAAACTAGTATCCAAACTAGATACTCATGTGTATCAATACTAAGTCACAAGTCAAAGTATCAATACTAAAAAGGTCACATTTATAAGGACAGAAATGACCCTTTCCTCTCTAGCTTTAGAATGATGTTGAGCTATATCAGAACAAGTATAAGAGCACACAGACTAGTATACACCCTTTGACCACTCTGGAATCTATCTGGACCACTAATAAGGCCACAGTGTAATATAAAAGAAATAATTTAATGTTGAAAATCACATTCTATTGACAGTGTTTTTTAAACTTTTATCATGGTATTGGAATTGGTATTGAATATTGACCCTATTCTTTAGTAATAACACTGAGTTTGAAATTTCAGTATGATGTCAACATTATTCCAAATATAGGCACTTACGCAAAATTTTCATTTGACTTTTCATAATTATGTTGTCATTCCAGCTATACAAACGTCTACAAAATGAGTTGACAGTTACGACTTTACATGTAGCTGAATAAAATTGCACTTGCTGGGTGCTTTGATGGGTACACACCTTGTAGACATCTCCATAGGTTCCCCCTCCCACTCTGTGCAGGATGTGGTAGTCGTCTTGGGGGTTCCTGGTGCAGATGTGTAGGGCTGTGCGGTGCTGGAGGTCCATGTCCGCTCCGGTCAGCTCATCCTCGAATCAGTGCCGCTGCAGTCTGGCCTCTCTTCCTGTTTCTCAGCCAGTGCTCTGTGCTCTGAGCTCTGTGTTCTCTGCTCTGAGACTGGTTTCCTGTGGGTGGAAGTGTCTGACATGTGGGTGGGGTTAAGCAGGTGCACACAGCTACCAAGTGTGTTTCTGCAGATATTTGCCTCTGATGTTTGCTTACTTCAGATGTTTGACTAGAGAAAGAGACATAACTGTCCTATGAGCCAATTGGTTAATGTCAGGGTTAAGTTCTTCTGGATCCAAATGAATTCACTACAAGCTGCTCCAAGGATTTGAACAATGTGGTTTTAAAATGTTTCTCCACAATAGTACTCTGGAATGTACTATTAGTCGGTCTTTCTATGGATTTTAAAAGCTAAATATCAGTTATCTGCCACAACAGCAGCCAATTGGTATAGGCTATAAAACAAAAAAAATTGAAATAGAAAGGATCTTTGTGCCTTTATGCTCATAAAGGCACAAAGATCCTTTCTATTTCATTTGAAGGAGAGGTTGATTGAGTACCCAAAAAAATGTAAACAAGTAAAAGTAACTTCAAAATAATATAACTTAAGTAAAAGTACAAAGTAGTGAAAACATAGACCTACTGAAGTAAGAGTAAAAAGGTACCTGGGAAAACTGTACTCAAATAAGAGTAACTGTCACGATGTAACATCTCATTTATAATTTAAGTGTAGGTGGGCCTAAACAATAGATGGACAAAACATTAAATAATGCATAAAATCTGGTATTAGTTTGTCAAAAATTAAAGCTTTTGTCACTGGTTAACTTCCTCACTGTGGGTTAGTAGTAAATGAAAAGTGTTTTGCATTTTACATTTGTAAGTGAATCATCCCACAACAACACCTTCTGCAGTCACAGGACAGATAGGAAATACATCTGATATTTGAATCTGCTGCTAACCACAATGAGTGAAGGAGCGATAAATTTACTGTATTTTTTCTTTTTTTTTTTATATGGACAGGAATATTTGAAATAGAAGGATCATCAAATATATTTACAAACTGTCTTAGTTATTTCACAGTGACATGTGGCATCTGTCACCTTGTCTCCTACCTCCTCTCCATCATTGGTTACATGTTGCCAGTTTTCTTCTGCATTATGGGATGTAGGTGTTCTACAAGCTGCTGAAAAACATGAAATAAATAATAACTTGGATTAAAAAAACAAAAAACATAAACTGCAATATGGATTCAAGTGTGTTTGAAGTCACTAGGTGAAGGTAGATCACAGCTATATGCTGTTAAGCTTTTAAAAACTTGTACATTTTGTAGTCAGTTTTGTGAGTCAGTTTAGTTATAATTTCTTTATTTTTTAAATATATAATTTCTTTCGTGGTGTGGGTAAGGCTTAGCTCTAGCTGTAGAACAGTCTTTAGAAAATATGTTGGGTTGCTCTAAGTGACAAGGGGTATAATCATAGCAAACAGATTATAGAATGTTTACTTAGCAAATGAAATGAGCTGGAATAGGTGGGAATAAGAAGCTCTCATCATTGCTTGCTCTAGTGAAGAAAAATAAAACAATTAATCAATTTTACATCACTGTGATAGACTCAATTATCAACTAACAGCACTAATAATTTCATATTGTTGTCTAGGTGTGACTAATATACAGTATGTTTATATGGAACACAGTTAACATTAGAGTTTGTAAAGTTGATTGAGTTTCAGGGTTAATTTGTAAAAAAAAAAAAAAAAAAAAAAAAAAAAACTCATTCACTTAATGCAATCTAAAAATTACTCGTCCAAAAGTTGCCGTTTACGCTCGCGTAGGGCCAAATACGCGTGCAGTGGAGCCTTAGGGCCTGATATGGCACAGGCTGGTCACCTCAAACGCAAGGATTTCCACAGTAAATTTGAAAGCACAAATTAAGCGTATTTCTCAATCTGGTCTCCTTCAGACATACATAACTGCCCCAGCGACAGCGTGTGCTGATAGTAACAGGCCAGATACAACAAGAAATGCATGTTTTGTATTCTGAGGAAACGCGCCCTGCCCTCGCGTAGGGCGTCAAAATCATAGAACTATAGCATGGTCAAAATTTACCGGATTCCATTTTCTGAAAACTATGCGCGCAGGACAACAATATTTTCAAACAATAAAACAGGTCAAAATTTTTAAAAAAGCTATTAAAATATACAGTGTCTACAAGAGTACTCCTCTCCTCTGTAAGTACTCCTCTACACTTTGTTACATTTTTTGAATTTGATTTAACCACCCCCGTACCGTAAGTGTTATCTATGTGACTGTGTGTATTTCAACATATCGACTTATCAAAAAAAAAAAAAAAAAAAAAGGACGTGTTGCTCTGAACGCGGACCGTAGAGGGCAGTACCACTTGTCTGCGCTGGTCCGTCACTATTTGTCCTCCCCCGGTCTTCCTCTCTTTTCTGGGCTGCCCATCAGCTCTATCCGCTCGGCTCCTGATGCTCTTAGCACACGTGTGGCGCTAATCGGTACATTTGCGGACATCAAAAAAGAAAAAAAAACACTAATCGAATGGCGTCGTCTTTTGAGCAAATGAGAGCAAATGTGGGGAGACTGCTCCGAGGCATCGACAGGTGATCCTCTGCCGTTTGCACTGGTGCTAGGCTAATGTTATGCTAAAGCTAGGCTAACACGCGGCTAATGTGTCTGTGGGGCGCACGATCTGCATAAATTATCCATAAAAGTTACAAATTGTGCCTCTGTGCTACCGTCATCCAATGTCGACAACTTCGTAGAGTAAGACTGTTCAAAATAGTCTCATGCTGTTAAATGTCCTAAAGCTGCTGTGTCTTGGTTTATTGTTCTTTGTAATTCTCCCTTTTGTCAAATTAAAGGTCCTGTATTGCACAAAATTTACTCTTATGAGCTTTAAGCTATGTTATGTGTTGTTACCTTTTCACAAAAACATATCTGGAGTTGTGTTTTTTTCATTCACTCATGTTTGAGTAACCCTGTCTACATCTCCAAAGCTCAAAATGCTCTGTTCCAACTTGTGATGTCATTAAGCATTAGTTTTCAACTTAATGGCTCCTTTTACTTTTAGATCAGAAGAGATTGGCAATTCCAGGGTAAAATTTATCCAAGGAGGACCCGAGTTTTTCACTTTTGAGACAAGAACACAGCTTAAATATGCAGGGTTTCTGATTTAAACATGTGGCTGGAAAAAAAAAACACACAACTCCAGGTCTGTTTGTGACGGGGAAACTACATTATAACATATGTAGATCAGGTAATAGTGCAATATATGCAAATACTTATAATACAAATATTGAATAGCTAAGATCATTTTTGTGAATTGAGATCCAGATCTGTGTTTATACTTTGCAGCTGATATATCAACATTCCCTGGAGGTGATATGCTACCTTTGTCAAAAATGAGACAAACTAACTCATGTCTGAAAGAGGGATGCAAGAAACACATGTGTTCAAATCAAATACTGTCATCTTAAAGCTTTTGTCACTGGTTAACTTCCTCACTGTGGGTTAGTAGTAAATGAAAAGTGTTTTGTATTTTACATTTGTAAGTGAATCATCCCACAACAACACCTTCTGCAGTCACAGGACAGATACGAAATACATCTGACATTTGAATCTGCTGCTGTCCTCAATGAGTGAAGGAGCGATGAATTTACTGTATTTTTTCATATGGACATGAATATTTGAAATAGATATGCTAACAGTAGGCACTGTTCTGTCTGAAGCTTTGTTACTCAAGTTAGACTCTGATATGATCTTTAACACAATCTGACCATAAATAACTGATTTAGCTGGAGCTACAACATGTGAGCTGATCTGTTCTGTACAGCTAGTCTCTTGATTCTCTTGATGAGAGTCACTAACTGAAAAACTGTTAATTTGAGAGACACTTGTTTAACAGTGTGTTTTAGTCCCAGCTAAATCAGTTCTTTATGGTCAGATCTTATTTCTTATTTTATTTATTTGTAAAGGGACAATACATATTAATGAACATTAAAAATGTAAAGATCAAATAGAGCAAATATCAAATTAGACGTACATGTACAGACCTACTTTTTAATTTGTCCTCTTTTGGTAGCAGTACTTGCACTGTAACTATTAGTATGACTGTACTTTTGCTTGAGTACACATTTTCAGTAATCTTGCAACCATGGGTAAAATATAAATATTCAAATGTAAATCTGTGTGTCATCTTTAGGTACAACCCAGAAAATCTAGCGACCCTGGAGCGTTATGTGGATACGCAGGCCCGAGAGAATGCCTATGACCTGGAAGCCAACCTGGCTGTTCTTAAACTGTATGTCTGCCCTTTTGTATATACACATGTACACATATACACACAAGACAAGTGTGTGTGTGTGCACTTGATGCGAACAAACCTGGATTATGAATGCACATGATAGACTCATGGATGGCCTCTTTACTACTCTCTGCTACTCACCCTTGATTATGATTAGGTTTAACATACCATTTTTCCAAGAATTTTAAATTTTCTATACATATGCCAATTTTTTTTTTCCATTTTATTGCTGTGTGTGTGGGTTTGGGTTGTGTCAATACCTGGTGAACATTTCACATCAATAGCACCATAAAATTGTCTAAAATATTATTATATTATATTTATTTATTCTTTTTGTGCCCTGAATAACTATTATCAATTAACTGTATGACTTGACACCCTTATACAAATGCTCTTTTGGCGATGTCTAACCATTTTCTGTGAGTTCTACTTGCCTGACCAGCCAATCCCTTCTACATTCTGTTTGAATCCAGAAGTGTCTGGAACCGGACAATAGAGGGTGAAAATTTTCTGTCCTAATTTGCGTTGATCCTTCTGTCTTTGTAAGGATTTGTCAAAGCACGTGGCTCCGGCTAGCCAGGCAAGAGTCCTACAGTATAAAAGAAGAAACATGTTTTTGTCCTTTTATAATAGAATGAGGAATCTCTATTGTTTCTTTCAGTAATACTACATATAAACGGAGTGCTTTTGTTTACCAAATAATGAATTGTGTTTGTACATGTTTGAAGTGCAATTGAGTAATTAGACACTAAACATGTGCATGCAGGTACCAGTTTAACCCTGCCTA